GGAAATCACCTGTTGATTTTTATATATATACATACACACATATATATATACGGTGTTTTTGTAAATCCAATCTGACACACTACACTGAAATGCTTTTGTTCGAAAAATCAGGATGCTCTATTTCTACACTAATTAACTAACGATTCAGTTAATCAAGCGTTCACCTTTACTAGGTGCTCTGCTGCACCGTCTCCCAAAACAGAGTGCCCAGATTATGCTCTGCTGCTCCAAGAGTGTTGTGATACTGAACAGAGTACATTCTGACAGTGCTCCGACTTTACGAATGGTCTAGTTTGTGCCAGAGTGCGGGAAGGCACTAGGAGTGAGTATTTCCAAAGGCACCCATAAACTATCAAGCAACAGTTTACTGAAATGCCACAGTTTTGTACAGGGAACCATGGGAAGTTCAGGCTGATGGCGAGATTCATGTAATATAGTAAACAAGCCAAGTTATGCACACGCACATTAGCCTTGGTACGCACGCATTAGCCTCTGGATGGTACTGCAATTTCCAGGGTCCGTCATGTGATGCCCTGCAGCCCAAAAAGACTTTGTACTATTGACTTACATGGTGAAAGAGATGTCTGTTTATCTGTGGACACATTTTTGAGCATCACAGCCCCGGGAGATGACGATGATGATGATAATGATTAATTTACTTCAATAACAAGTCTAGCCTTGAAAAGTCCATAAGAGCTGCAAGATTGAAAGTTCTTATTCCCATTCAAGTAAACAGAACACTGCCCGGCCACACTCTGTCGTGCTTGGCTGCATTAAGTCTCTGGTGTACCTGCTTTATGGGCCGCAAAGTGCGGAAGTACTGCCAATAATCCCCGGATCTTCCTGGTAATTTTATATGCCGCAGTTGAACCATTCTGGCTTCATGCATGTCCCAGCAACTCTAATAGGAATTAATGGGGCCCTGCATTCATCACTGTATACAGGTCTCTTAATACATCCATGGTGCTAACTACGCTAACGACTAACTGGAAACATGGAGTAACATTTTTGCAAACCCAAAGTATCAAACAAAAGCCAGAGACTGTATCGTATTAAGTTGCTGTGAGCTGTAAATTCACCAGTTGTAAGCAGACGGCAGAAGGTAAAGTTATCTTGGTATCTGAAGAGGCAAAGCCTCTCTTCCTCCAGGCAGCTGCCTCCATCTCATTCAGGCTCACCCTGGGTTTGCCGCTGCCTGTACTCATCGCAGACATCTTCACCTAGTGGACGGGATGACTTGATGTAGTGTAATGATTTTACCCCCGCTGTGCAGCTACTTCTAGAAACCGAAATCTTTCGGTTCATCCTTCCAGTTCATCCCAAAGGTGCTGTGTGGGGTTGAGGTCAGGGCTCTGTACAGGCTAGTCCAGTTTTTCTACACCAAACTGGGAAGAACATTTCTTGTGCATGATGCCTGTTATGTCCACAGTGTAGAGCCATTTAGCGTTTTTACTTTGGGTGTTTTGACCTCCCTCATGGTTGAAGCTCACTAGTGCTTCCAGTAAGAAGACTTAACAGAATCAGGTTAAAATGCCAGATCATTAAAAACAGAAGTGAGGTTGAACTGGCTCTAAATAATCCTTTTAAAGCAGAGAGAATCCAGGATTGACAGACTACATTTGAATGATTGGGTATTCTGTATATAATTTCTTGGCACTGACCTTATGTCAGTCAAAACTAAAGGAATTTAAATATAGAGTAAAGTCATGAGTGTTTACAGTTATATTATAAAACAAACACACAGTAAAAGAATGAGACAAACAGAGAATATTTACATATATAACAAAGAAGTCTATCATTGTGCCACAAATCGTGGGAAGACTTCCCTCCTGTCAACATCATTGTGATGCTTCTCTGCAGCCTACACACCTAATGGCTAATATTCACTGTGCCGACAGCTCAGTGGCCTCCACAAGCACGAGGGATTGTGTGAGAGCAGTGTGAGAGCTGAGACCTTTGATGGCGGTGCAGGACACTACCCGGCCTTTAGCCTTTTGTTCAATGTTACACAGTTACTGATAGTGAGCTGGGGAGGGCTTTTGTTTCCTTCCACTCAGCATCACTCCAACTGTTTTGTTCATTCGTTAAATCTTTGACACACACACGCACACAAACACAGTGAGAGATAACAGTCACCCACCCCCATAAACCCAACCCAACAGAAGAGATGCTTATGTGTAGCAAAGGTAAGCACCCTCACAACAAAACACCATGCACCACATCTTAAGTCCTATGTGTCATATATTAAGGTTTTGTCCAAACTGCTGTGAAAAGGGTCAGAGACACATTTCTGCTCTACAAAATAATAAGTATGATAGGAATAATGCACACAAGTGACCCTTGTGGTGATGACAGTAAGAGGGGCCTTAGGTTGGTTTGTTTGATGTTTGCTGAGAATCATGGCTCCTGTGGTGTCAACCTCTCTGTCCATAGTTTACCTCCGGTCCATGATTTGTTTCCATGGGGTCTTCTTTGAAGTTTTCACACTGCTCCATTACTTTGCTGAAAAATTAAAATATTTCAGAAGTTAACTAAACGTTAGAAGCTGTTCTAGAGCTTCTTAGACAGTAAAATCTGTACTAAAATGATTTCACAGTTAGATGATGCAGTCCACATGGGAATTTTTAGCTACAGATGCCGTTTAGGGTGCTTCCACACCTAACCTGTTTGTAACGGTTTTAGTTTGCTTATGCTGAAGTGAAAGCGGGCCACACTGCCTGCATGAGAAGTAGGGGTGGGTAATATGGCCCTAAAATATTATCAGTTATTTAAGGGTATTTTTGTGATAATGATATTCTTGACGATATGACAAAGTAGTAAAAAAAACGTTATTATTAATTTAACATCATAGAATTGTAACAAAATTAGTGATAAAGTTTTACTTGTCAACATAACAATTTGCCTTTAAATATTCAGTAAAAACCGAACAAAAATGATCTCTCATTTCTTTAGTTTGTAAACAACAGTAAACCAGAGTGAGATTCAGATTCTGTATACAATATTAATAGTTCAACAAAAGAAAATCTACCACAAATTACACATGTAATACAAAATAAGTACCCTGGGATTTATATAAATCAACAGGTGATTTCCTTCTTTTAGCAAAATCCTAAATGACTGAGTTGATTTTTTTTGCACCTTTGTGCTCTCACTTTCCTCTAATCATTACGCTGTAACCTGTGACAGGCTGTTGTGCTACCATAACTATCGCACATTCACATATATGTACTTTTTTGTCGAGCTGCAAGCGTCACAAAGGTTTACGTTACCAAAGGTTTATGACAAAATCACTTGACGAGACTGACGACCATATGCGCACGGCGAGAGAGGAGAGGGAGAGACATTGTGCTGCTGCCAGAGGAGCTGCTGAATGAGTTTCCTCTTAGCTGTAAGTTGTTAAAAGAGTCTGAGAAGTCTGGGGCTGTTCTTAAAACATTTAGGACGCCACAATTTATTCCACACTACTGTAGCTGCTCCTCTTTTTGGAACCACCAGAGTCTGTAATAATTTCGATTTTAGCCATGCTTGCTGTTGCTGTATTTAACAGTATGACGTCAATATATCAGCAAGTCGTAATATTGAGAGTATCACTGAATGAATTTTTCATATCATATGAAAAATTGTACAGGTATTATTGTGAACGATATACAGAACACCTAGAGATTTGGAGTCTCATTTATTTTTTCCATGACGTGCACGCTTTCAGTGAAAACAGACAGTGAAACTGGTCTTTTTATAATAATATTAACATCATACCACCTTTCACTACAGTTTTGATGTCTAATTTGTAACAAACATGAAACAACATAAATATTTATTTCTAACTCAACACTTTCTGTCTCCATGTCAATATAAAATGCCTCTTACAATGTTTCTGTGAACAGAGTCCCTTCATATATTAACATAAGTCTTTCTTTATTGTGAAATATTTATAGGAACCTGTTGTTGAAAATGTAGTGGCTTGCACAGTTTTATAAATTAGTGGAGTACCATATTTTAACTGTGGAAATACAGTGGTCATAGCAGCAGGCAGCTCTGCAGCAGCGCCACTGCAGTTTAGTGAAGTAGCCGTTTAGGACTGCTCACTCAGGCAGTGTGGCCCAGGCACAAGACCACTTGAGTAGGTGAGTTTTAATCTGTGGTTGGTATAGGAGATATGGCCCTATAACAATATCATGATATTTCAAGGTACTTTAGCAGCAATTATTCTTCATGGTAGGACAAAATACTGGACAATATTTAAATATTTCAAGAAAATACAATTGCAACAGTATAATTTTTAATATCATAAAATAATAATAATAATAATAATATCATGTTAACAGCAATATTCCTACCTGCTGATGTAAAGATGTATTATCGTTAGGCACAGCAACAACAAGTATGGCTAAAGTGAAATTGCTACCAGCTCCATCGTGTAGACGGCGACTTCAGTAGTGTGAAATCAGTGGGGTCGTTAGGCCTACGTGCGCTGAATGTTTTATGAATCGCCTCAGACTTTTAAGATTCTTTTAGTGACTTCCTGTTCAGAGTAAACTCAGTCAGCGGCACCTCTTGCAACAACACAGTGTTTCTCTCTCCCTCTCCTCTCTCGCTGTGTGCATGCAGGAATCACTGTTGTCAGGTCATTCTGTCATGAGCCTGTCATAAAGGAAGGCTGCATGAAGCTTAATATGCCTGAATGTGCGATATAACCTCTGTACAACACAGCCTATCAAAATAAATGCAGATCTGTGCATACGTACAGATGCGAGACTGACTGTGAACTGTCAAGACAGACACTTTATTAATTCCCCCCAGGGATTAATAAAGTATTCTGAATCTGAATCACTTTGTGATAAATTACAATTAGCCTTTTTCAACTGCAAAGGAAAAACTCTTTTTGTCTCTGTTCATCTCACTTTAATCATTTTAATTGCAGCAACATTTATCTAGTGAACAGAAAAAGCTATTTATTTTATTACTCTAGTAGGCTACCAAAAGTTTAATTTGTATTTGCAGCATTTATAATTTCTGTAATAAAATATTGATACTTGGCATTTGTGTATTGATAAAATATTGCCACACAAAATACTGTTATACTGTACTGTGTCGACTTTTTCCGCTCACCCCTCCAAGATACAGTATATTATTAAAGCAACACAATGGAGGATGGTGTTTTTTACCTCACGGGGTCCCCCTACAGACCAAAAACGGTATTGTCCATTAGAACTGTCGCAAAAATCTTTCTGCACATGCATTTGTTGACAAGCCAATGATACTGGTGAACTTCCTGAAGCTGGCCATGTAATGCGTGATCATCATGTCTTCAGAACAGGTAAAGTAGCCTTATAGCATTTTCTACATACATGAGTAGGCTGATTGCTTTATTTATTTATTCATTTTCAACACTCAGAAATGAGTTGCTCTCTGCATGTCAGGGCTGACCACCTCCTCACAGCGTGCACGCACACACACACACACACACTCAACAGAGTGAAGTCAGACAACAGCAGAGAGGCCGCGGTGCAGATGAAGCGAATATAACTTCAAGATCACTCTAGCTGAGGACAACTACGCTTGTTACTGTAAGTAGGCCTAAGTGCGATAAAACCTCTGCCAGCCAAGCCAATACTTTATCAATAGATGTGATCAGCATGTAGAAAGCCATATTTCAATCTGCTCTGTCCGCAGTCTCTCATTCACCGCTATTATGATTTACGATCGCGGTCGACACAAGCACATTGCGCTCGTGGTGCTAACAGCAAAGTGTTAAAGACAAACTAAAATGAAAGCTGTCTGTATGTAGGCTAGACTCACAAGTCAGTCTTTAGACACTTTGCTTAACTAAAGACTGATGACTTTCTTCCTGATTTTGTGTTTAGATGGGCGGATACAATTTCAGAGTTAAAAAAAACTCCCTACGTTGCAGAACCAATAGTAAAACAGCAGGGCGGTCCTTAGATGGCTCGCTGAACTCTTGTGCTCGTAAACAAAGTCCAACTAGAAACACGTGAAGAGGTAAAAAATGGCTCAAGTCGCTGTAAGTCCTTCATTTCCACAATCTTGTGGACTGAGCACACGTTTGATAAAACGGAGTTAAATCTCTCGGCATCCATTTTCAAGCTCTCTGTGTGTTTGTTTCCTTGCAGATGAGAAAAGGGGGAGCGCACATTTCCGGGAGGGCGTGTCCTTTTCAAAAATGCAAGAGGCGATCTGCCTCTCACAAACCTCAAAATTATGTCATTTAATGTCTTCTTTCATACTCACGCCAAAGGGTTTTCATTCATCGTCATGGGAGAGTGTGTAAAGCTGCCAATATCTGAACGTAAGAAGCTGCAATAAGCGTATTTTGGGGTACTTTTATAGTACTTTTCTATGAAAAATGACTCAAACCAATTAGTCAACTACTAAAATAGTCACTGATTATTTTAATAGTCAGTTAGTCATCGATTAGTCAACTAATCATTGCAGCCCTAATGACAACCATGTCTAACTTCGTTCACCTCGGTTCGGCTACACTATAAAGAGAGGAGGGGGATATGACCAGTGCCAGTGCAAGCGAAACAGACGCTCTTAAGCAATGATAGAGGTGTCATCCAACCTATTGTCAGCTGATGTACCATCACCAAAATATGATTTACATCCAAGGATCGTGGATATGTATTTTGAGGGCTCAAAAACTCCATTGTGTTGCTTTAATGATCATTTGGTAACCATGGTTACATGTCAGCAAATGAGAATATACATATTCTCTGACAATACAAAATTAGTTGAAACATGCCAGTGTGGTGTTGGTGTCCTGCTCTGTGTATTTAATTATTTATATATGACTGAAAGATGATGCCATTTTAAGTAGCCCCTCTGTCATATTACACAAGATACCTCTCTTTCATTCCATTTCTAACGGTCCACCATTATTCATGAACAATGAGGTTCAGTTCAAGTTTTAAGTATTATTTCTCATAATCAGCTCTTTTACTGGTGGATTCTTTGTAGACACCAGAGAAGATAAATAAACACGTCATGTTTAGTAAAGTGCAGTAGGACTCTCCACGGGTCTAAGTAGTGCTGACATCGACAAAGCTGACCAATGAAAGAGTTAAATGTCAGTCAACGTGACTTCAGGATTAAATGGCTTGGCTAGTTTGTTAGAAGTTGGTGTGAGCACAAACAGCACCAGAACTAAGGGTAACGGAAAAAATCAATACAGCATAGTATCACAATATTTTGCGTGGTGACATTGTATCGATACACAGACACTAAGTATTGATTTTTTGTCATATACATTATTAATGTTTGCAAATACTTTTGGCACTACAATAATAAAATCAATTGCTTTTTTGGCCCACTAGATGGTGCTGATACTTTTTATCCTGGTGAGGTCAGCAGAGGTCTTAGTCTGCAGCATTTGGCAGGAAGTTCATCATAACAAAGATGGAGGCAGCAGACAAAGAAATCAGAGATATGCCGTCGGAATTATCTCTGGATAAGACTCTGGACTTATTTTGGATTTTTTAACATGGAAGGAAAGGAGGACTTGGATATGACTCATGCGATTTGTAAGCAGTGTCATATAAGAATAAAATACTCTGGGAATACTACGAACATGAGGGCTCGCCTCACACACCACCATCCAGAGACAGTGTTAGCCACTCATGACTAAGCTAACACTAAACCCACTCAGCCGAAAAATCGACCAACACTAGACACACTTATAGGGAATTTATACTTCTGCATTGAATGGACGCTGTAGCTACAGCATAGGCTCCATGTCGATGTAGGGCCTACGCCGTTACCTACGCCGCAGCCTGACGTGCACCTCCCCAGAAATGTACCTATATGTCGCGGTGACGCAGATGTCCTGTCTGTTTCTTTAAGCTGAAACCATTTCCCTCAGTGGAAACAAAGCTTTTATTTACTTTTATTTCACAGATAAGAAACAATAAATTGTGAAGACAGTAAAGCCTCCAATAAAATAGCATTTTAAGCCTTGTGTGTTATTCATCCTTCAGGGATTTATACTTCAGGATTTATCCAGATTTTATATAAGAGGAAATCTCCGCTCGTCACTAGGCTAATTTATGTAAAATGCTATAGGCTGGAGCTAATAACATTAGCATTTTGTGTTTGTTTGGAAAATGTGTTTAATATGACAGTTGTTTTGTCAGTTAATCTTGGGAGTTGTAATGGAGCCAAATTGTGTGCCGATACCTTTGATAAATGTTGCTGTTGTCCCTGGTTTTATATGAGAAGAGGAAAAGATCGCCAGCTGCTAGGCTAGTTTATACAATGTAAAATGCCATAAACTTGTGCTAATAAAGTTAGCATATTGCATTTGTGGGGAAAATGTGATCGGATTAACACAAGCAATATAGTGAAGCCAATTTGTGTACTTGTGTTTGAAACTGTCTCTATTAAGCCATATTTAATGTGTGTTTTGGGTTTGTTCTGAATCAACTAAACTTTACAGCACTTCACAGAAACCTCCGCTGCCAAGTAGCGTTTTGGAGGTGTAACTGCAGAGTGACACAGACACACCACTGCACAAGTAAAAATGCTCACAACGGCGCAGGGGACATGCGTGGGCTATGCACGTAACATCTGGGCGCGTAGCGTCTGTGCACAACTATAAATCCCACTTTAGCTTGAAAAACCTACCATCCAACTCTGAGAGAGCTAAGAAAATAACACCGTCCATCACCTACTTCATGTGCAAAGATCTGCATCTATACAGTGTTGCTGAAGACAAAGGCTTTTGTTGGGTCCTCTGGCAATTCCCACCCCTAACCAGTACTAAAAAAAACAGATTTAACCTTTCTCCCTGGTGTAGACTAAATGATCTGAAACACAGGAAGGTGACCATATGTGTTTCTAGATTGCTGCAGTAAATGACTCACAGTCATTGGCAACAAAATTATTAGGGCCAAAGACTTGTAATCATTCACAAACAGAACCTTCTGACAAGCTACAGAGTACTAATGAGCACATTAAGATCAGCTTAAAAAACATTCTTTCAAATGTCCTACCTGGCCATGTCCTTGGTTTCTGGCTGTGAACTTTCCAGTTCCAGAACTTTCTCTAAAAGACTTAGCCCTCCTTCCTTTATCAGCAGGGGACAATACTTGCTTGCTGCAGAATGAGAATGAATGCAAACAGACAGTTTGTGAAAATTATTGCTGTGCATTATTGTATACAGCACAATTTAGATAGATCAGCAGTGTGTGTACTTAAATAAAAGAACAAGCAGCCTGGTGAAAGGAATATTTAATATTCCTATTAATATTTATGTTAGAACAGAGAGGAAAAGTAAGTAATATTTTAAATATGCCAAATTGCATTTACAAAATCACAGTTTATTCAGTGCAGAAATATGTACAGGTATACTGTTCTGGTCTAGGTGAGCATCTCTGACGATGTTAACACTAAATGTTGCTGCTGATTTAAAATGGTAGCAGCAGAGCAGATACTCACGGTAAACTGTCACCAGGTTGTAGAGAGCCCATGTGGCCCAGTGCTGACTGACAGGGGAGATGCTCTGTGGCAGCAGGCGCAGGATGGGCTCAAATGACCTGAGACACCAAAATCCATTTAAAAATTCAAACAGGAAAAAACCCCACTGACAGCAGTGCTGCTAGACCACAGCTTCAACTCTGTATACAATGACATGTTGTTACTCAGTTGCACATTTAACATACATGTCTATATTTTTAAATCTAAATAAAGTTATCTATTTGTCTACAAACTATACTGACATCATTGTGACATCTGTCTTTTTTTACTGACCAACAATGATTTTCAGAGGTTCCACAGCATTCATACAAACATTACAACAGCTGATAAAGCACTAACTGCTGTATGTGTAACATGATGTATTGTCAACAGTAGCCACAGGTTGGTTAGCAGAGGTTATAATTACTGGTCAATATACAGATGTGATGTCATTACATTATTCTGTAATTCCTTTACACCAGCATTTCATGACATGTTTAATGTTCACTGTCTGAAATATTCCCCCTGGTTTTAACTACTTTTTTTTAACAATCCATTTATGATACTGACATTCTTTCTTTAACATTACATAATAAAATATGATTTACATACATTAAATAACTGAAAAGATGGCTGATATGGCATTAATAAAGGAAAGAGTACACAGGTAATAATCACCTGTAGTTAATGTTGCGGTGTGAGCTGACGTCCCAGCTCTGGATAGCATCCCACATCTTGTCCATCACCGTGTCTCTTCGCGGCTCTTCCATCAACCAAACCTCCGGCCCATCAAACATGATGTGTGAGAGCACGCCACATGCATTGTACGACACCTCGATCCCATCTGCCTTACTGTCCAGCAGGTTACTGTCAAAGCATCAACAGTGAGGGGGGAACAGAGAAAAACAGCAAGTATCTGATGAGCAGTCTGTATGAAAATAATAACCCTCAGACACAAATTTCAATTTTGTCTACAAACCCTTTATTCAGTTGTGTTGTTCAAAAATTTTAGTTGTTTATCTGTACCTTGTCTTGGCTCATTCAGTGTAGTAAGACCTTATTATGTGTGTGGGTGAGGCTATGGTGTGGCTGTGTGGGTGCTCCAATGATAGGACACGGTGCAATTAATCAATAAATTTGTCACATTAAATTATATAAAATACAATTTCAGTGAAATGTAATTATTACATATGTAAACTCTTCAGCCTGTTGTCATAGTGTTATTGCTATGGCACAGTATTGTAATGCTGTGTATCCTTTGGTATTTCATCTTTCATCTTCATTGTGGGTTTACTAACTTCAACTGACTTTTGTTTCAAACCCAGGACATCGGACCATCAGCATTAGTAGTTACAGGTATGTACAGTAGTTTGTCTCACTGTGTACATTCAAGTCTCCATGCAAAGTAATAAAATACATATCTTTTAAAATATTTTGCCCTAGCTTTCATTTGTTTGAGCAGTGACTGTATATTACACTAATGTTGCGTTCACACTACAAGCGATACAGCAACAGGCTACAAGTAATTTTCAATGAAGGCCGGTGACATGAAGCTACAAACTGATGCCATGCACTGCAGACATGCATGACATGCTACAAGGCAAACCTGAGCTGGCCTTAACGTTTTTTTGTGCTCCAATGATGCGGCGAAGCATCAACCAATCATACGTTTTTGTTTCTAGCTGTGGTGCTGTGTTATTTAGCTGAGTTAGCTGACGCTATGCTAGCTTTCTATGTATTGTGGTGCAGTAGGGGATGCGATGGAGTGGCAAAATGTTATGTTCAAATGGGGATCAGATTTTGATCAAAAGCATAGATACATTTTTGACCATATACAAACTTTAGATGACGCTCAGTTGAGGTTCTTTGTTGCAAATTACACACAAGCCCGTGGTGACATAAATGAACTGCCTGCGCAACACTCCAATGCTGACCCAGGGACAATGTAGCTGGTCACGCTGTAGCTTTATCTCTCTTTGTATGAAAACAGCATTAGGGCAACCACAATGTTGAGTTAGAATATCTTGTATTTCTGACACCTTGGCAAGCACACTTCTAATAGGTTGTTGCTGTTTAATTAATGAACTGGAGAGGTTGACCAGAAGCATTTTGTAATTCATTTACTTTCTACTGATTTTTAACAGCTCTCTTACCTGAATACAGTGATGAACTGCGGGGTGAGCAGCTGTGGCCTCAGTGCTTTGACCTCAGCAACATTTCCCAAAAGTCCCAACATGTTGCGGTGAAGCTCCTGCTTGTCTGGAAACTCCTGAAGTAAGATCATATCATGAAAGGAGAGGTATATCAAGACACACTGGAAATATCAGGAGACTACTGCCCTATAGTTCAAAAGCATGATAACTAAGGTACACACTTGTATATATTTCTAAGATGTAAGCAACAAATCCTTAAGTCAGCTTAAGCCTAGTGTACGCTATGCGATTTTGGGCTGTCCCAGACGAATGATGACCAACATGAAAGAAACGTGGCAATATCTTTGGTCGTGGCTCTTAAACGTCTACACACACAGTGTGTCGTACAGTGAGAGAGGTTCAAGGATGGTCATTATCACGGTCTTGCAATCAAAGACAGCCTGGAATGAAATTCTGACAGTGTCAGAAATTTGAGACCATCTCAGTGTTACAACCTACATATACTAACCAACCAACATAAACGCAGCATGAAATGACACACAGATTGGCGCAACAACGCTCAATGCTAGTAGACACTAATAATACTTATTTCGAGCTCTTGTAGTAAAATTTGCATGCCAAGTTTGCCTCTTTTCCCCAGCCACAACTTTGTCCACATTCTTCTCAAGACTTTTTTCTACACAGAAATGCCGCTATAGCAAGAGCGCGATTCATGTTTGTTTTAGAAAAATTAAAACAAACATGAATCACGCAGCGTAGATGGATGACACATGCTGATGATGTTTTGTTCTTGCGTATTGACACTGATGGACGTACGTCTTAGCCTGTGATTCAGTAGGTGTTGTAATTGTACAGTCTGCAGTCTCAAACTTAACGTCGTACCCAGGCTTATTAGATCCATGTCGTACAGTGTAGCTTGCATTAAACTTATAAGATTGCTAAAATCTCACTGTCTGCAGGAGGTTTTAGTGGGTTCTTATGGTTTCAGAAAAGGCACAACAGATGCAGTGTTGGAGGGTGTTGACTCACCTGTAGACACTCCAGAAACAGACTCATGCCCCGACAGTTGAGGAACATCTGACAATTGTCGGGCGTCTCATCAGTAATGTTCCACAGAGCGCTCCAGGAAAACTCCATCACCTGGTCACACTGAGGGGAAACAAACACACAATCTTTATGGCATGAATCCCCTACATTTGATTGTTACACACAAATATGTGTGATGCAGGCAAGAATATTGGTTACAATACTCTACTGGGTCAGGTGTGTCTATAACATTTCAAGCTCAAAAGACTCAGAAGGAATAAAACTGAGACTCACCATTCTGTCCTGCAGCTTCTTCTGTATTAAATTCAACATTGTCTGTGGAGGAGGAAATAAAATCAAAGAAAACAAAAATATAATCCGCTGACAGCTGTCAGGATAATTTCACACCAATGGTGCCACTAGGGCAAAACAATATTATGGGCTGTGTCTGTGTGGGTGTGTTGCTATAGGATAATAGATTTTCCAAAATCACCACACAGTACCAAGAAAGAAGAAGGTGATGGATAAAAAAGAGATTTGAAAGCTTATATAAGTATGTAGTTGTTTTGACCATATGTAATCAAAAAATAAAAGATGAAATACAAATCATGAGTCCAGTTGAAAGGCACTGCACATTAGTTTGTACTTGACTATAAAAGGTGTGTTCAACTTAGGAAAGTTACAACAGTAGTAGGCCTGTCACCATAACTACTTTTGCTGGACGCTGTATTGTCACAGAAATAACTTTGATAAATGAGGCTATTGTCGTTTTGAAACTATTTTATGCCACTGATATAATAACTATACAGTTGCATAATAAAGCAAGTACAGCCTTTCAAAGAGCAATAAACTTTTAATTCTTAAGAATACTCAAACATTGGAATTTGAATATGAAACACACATTTAACATGTATTTTTTTAAGTAATATATATTAGAAAGTATATATACAATCGTACTTTTATAGGGGTAGCCAAAAAAGACAAAAGACAAAATTTGGCCAATGAAAAACAAAGTGATGCAAGTGATGCATCTTGTGACTAATAGACAAGGTTAGTGAAGCTCTGGAAACACTGCAGTTACCACTTTTAACCAGCCAGTGTGCTGCAGTTGGCTCCTGGGGACAGACGGCCTGGGAGCCGGACAGTTTGCTGGTGGGATTATGGAGTGGAGGATGAAGTTGTTGGAGGGTAAAACTACAAACGACAAACTTTTTGACTTCTTGCCAGGGGTTAGCAAGCTAACACTATCAATTAGGACTGCGTCTCTTCTACTCCAAAAGTGCAGCTGCATGCTTCCAGTAAGCTACGCTGTGCTGTCTTTGAAGAGTTGTTTTATTTTTCTTGTGACTCATGCAAGTAAGCGGGGTGAAAAAGGGACATTCTTATGCCACGTTCAGACTACATGACATTTTTGTCCTTTGTGACAGTCACTATGTCAGATCAGGCCGTTGTGGAGTGATAAAATCTTGCCGTGACTTGGGCGACAGACAGGACAGACCACACATTGGTCCACGACCAATCATCCCTGGTCGTCTTTCACGACGTTTGTGATGTCATCAGATTATTCTTGTCCTATTTTTATTATTATTACAATTATTTCAGTCACTATGGTCCTTCGTGTTCCAGCCGAACTGTCATTATAGTAACATAAAAAAGTGCCACCAGATGGCAGGAGCTACATTTGAAGTGCTGCATGCAAACTATGCAAGTCACTGAATCCTCCACAACAAGTTTCTGCATGTTTCACAATCAAAGCCTGGCAGCGGTTGTCGTCTACTGTGACACACTACACGAATAAAACAATGGATTAAAGCAAACGATATTGATTGTCCTTCACGATCCGAGCTGCACCATACAATAGCTGCGTCGGGCTCTGATCAGGCTGATATCGTGTAGTCTGAACCTGGCATTACGTCAACAAACATACATGTATCCTAAACATATCCTGATGACATTGATGTATCCTAAAGGTTACATCAATGTAGCGTACATTAAGGCACTAACATAATTTTCGTGACGGGTCTACACTGTTGCATTCTCTGTTGCATCCTCTACTGTGATGTCTCTGAAGTGAACAGTAAATTTGTACAATCATATATAGCATTATGACTGGTATGTATGCTTGCATTGAGTTGACTGATCAACACAGTGCATTGTAAGTTTATTCTGTATCCTCTTGTCTTTTTTAAGTCCTCTACAGCCAAACACACATACACTGCCCACTGCACCACCTCCGTGAACTTAGTATACTATTAGAGGCTTGCCTTTGTCTGCCTAAAAGATCTCTAACAAAGTGAAATTACTTAGAATAATTATTCTGTGGCTGCCCACAGCTCTTAGTATAACTCATATACAGAGGATGAATTTCCTCACAAAGATTTAAAAAGCTTAATAAATTAAGTGGAACTTGGCATGTTTTTTTTTTTCCCCCAAAGGTATAAGGCAATGTCAGTAGCACAAATAAAATCTTACCTCATTTAGCAGAAAATCATAGCTCATAACAACAGTGGAAAGATAATTTGTACTCAAGAATTATTGTAACTGCCCCATTTTTATTGGACAATTACAGGAATACTCAGTGAGAGTAAAGATCATCTTGATGTTACCTTGACAAATCCCATCTTTCCCACTGCTTCCTTGTGATGGTTGTCCACCTGACAGACCAAAGCATTGCAGAGGTGCACAGCAATTCTCTGGATAGACTCATCCTGCCTGGCTGGTTCCAGGATTTTCAGCAGCAGCTGGTTGACCCGACTGTACTGGAACTCCAGCTCCTCTGGAATACTGAAGTTACACAGAGTCAAGCAGCAGTTCCTCTGGACCTGGTGTGGGGCAGGGACGGGGACACAGAGGGAGACACAGAAAGGCATGACAGACTGCACCCGAGCAAATTAGGTAGCGACATGCTAGCAGCCAACATAGCGCACACTGTACACACCACGTAAAAAACACACGTCCGTGACTGTTTACATGCCCCACCCCCTGCTCAGTGCATTCCTCTTCTTCCTCTACAGATCATTCTGCGAGTACTGGCTCCCACAACCTCTCCCCCTACAGACTCCAACTGCAACTGCCACTAACCTCATCAGCCAGCTCCAGGTCAAATCCCAAACATCCTACAGTTCCCAGGCCTTCACAATATGTTTCCACCAATTATGTTCTGCCTCCCACAAACATTCCTGTTATCATCACTGAATGACCCTACTCAATCAAGCCTCACTTTGCTCACAGACATGCCCAGAATTTACAACCCATTATTATTCCTCAGTCCTCTAAGACCGTCCTAAAGCAACGTCATCTGAAACTGGCTCTATTCAACACACAATCTCTGAACAACAAAAGCCTCGTCCTATTATAACACCACCCTCTTCTATTATAACACCACCCTCTCCTCCTTCCTAACTCAGTTGGCCCCCATCAAAACTAAAACTGTCTCCTTCACTCACTCCGCCCCCTGGTACACCCCTGAGCTCCATGCCATGAAATCCCGAAAGCATCAGCTGGAAAGACTCTACAAGAAGACTAGCCACCAGTTCACCTTCAAGTCTACACAGACCACCTGCTACACTACAAGAACACCCTGAACACAGCCCAGTCCAACTACTACTCTCATCTCATCCACTCTGGCTCCAACAACCCCAAAACTCTTTTCTCCACAATAAACAAACTTCTGAAACCCATCAACAACACCTCCACATCCTTCACAGTTGACAAGTGCAATTCATTCTTGTCATTCTTCCAAACAAAATTAACACCATGTACAGCAACCTGACCACCTCCCCTCCCTTCCCGACCCCTCCACCTGTTCTTCCCCCCCACCTCTGTTCCGCCATTGTCACACTTCACCCCTCTGACCCCTCTGGACCTCACAAAAGCCAATACAGGTATGAGTAACTCTACATCAGTTCACGACCCAATCCCTTCCTCACTTGTTAAGTCCTGTCTCCCTTCTATCTCCCCACTCATCTCCAGAATCATCAATGCCTCCCTCAGCTCCGGCTTAGTCCCAGATCCTCTGAAACTCGTCGCTGTCACCCCTATCTTCAAAAAACCCGGACTCAGTCCCGACATCATGACCAACTTCCGGCCTATCTCCAAGCTCCCCTTTCTATCAAAAATCCTGGAGCATGTTGTTGCCACTCACCTCAAAACCCACCTCACCTCCAATGACCTATTTGAGACGTTTCAATCCGGATTCCGGCCACAACACAGCACTGAAACAGCTTTTCTCAAAGTCACCAACGACCTCCTCCTCTCCGCCGACTCTGGACACCTCAACATCCTCATCATGCTTGATGTCACTGCTGCGTTTGACACAATCAACCACTCCACCCTACTCTCCCGTCTTAACCTGTTACAACATCACTGGCACGGCTATCTCCTGGTTCAGATCATATCTCTCCAACAGACAGCAATTCATCCATATCAATAACTGCACCTCCTCCACCACTCCTCTGTATCAAGGCATCCCCCAGGGTTCTGTGCTTGGTCCTCTCCTTTTCATCCTTCACATCCTCCTGCTTGGTAACATCATCCACCAATACGGCCTCCACTTCCACTGCTATGCGACGTCCAGATCTACATCGCCACAAAATCCATCACTACAGCAATCTGCTCCACACTTGACATTTGCCTCACTGTAATAAAATCCTGGATGTGAACTAACTTTCTACAACTCAATTGTGACAAATCAGACGTGATCATAATCGACCCCAGTTCCCTTACTAAAACCATCCATATATTCAGTCTTAATGTTCTACACAACCTCGGAGTCACTTTCAACAGCAACCTTTCATTTCAACCACACGTTAATCATATCACCAAAACCGCTTTCTTCCATCTAAAAACATAGCTCGGCTCCGCCCCTCACTCACCTTCTTAACTGCAGAAACTCTGATTCACGTATTCATCACATCCAGACTCGACTACTGCAATAGCATTCTGTATGGTTCATCTTCTAAAGTCCTCAATAAACTGCAGTACATCCAGAACTCTGCTGCCCGTCTCTTCACCCAGTCCCGCTCCCAGGACCATATCAGGCCCGTCCTTCAGAACCTCCACTGGCTCCCAATTCCTCAACGCATTCAGTTCAAAGTCCTTCTCCTCAACTTCAAAGCCCTCCATAACCAGGCCCCATCTTACCTCACTGACTTGTTGCACCATCATACCCCCTCCCACAGTCTCCGCTCCTCTGATGCAAATCTCTTCTCTCCACCATACAGGATCAAGCACAAAACCTGGGGGGACAAAGCCTTCTCCACTGCTGCATGGTGGAGAAGGCTTTGTCCCCCCAGGATCAAGCACAAAACCTGGGGGGACAAAGCCTTCTCCACTGCTGTCCCCTCCCTCTGGAACTCTCTCCCCCAACACATCCATAACTGTACAGACTTAAACTCCTTCAAATCTTTGCTTAAAACCCACCTGTTCAGGCTTGCATTCAATCCCCATTCTTGCTCTTAACTGTGTTGTTTTTATTTTGTTTTTTTGTAAAGTGTCTTTGAGTGTTTTGAAAACCGCTATACAAATAAAATGTATTATTAATGTTATTATCATTATTATTATTAACATAATGTAGATGAAAAAAGGCCTATGAGTCTTTATTTGGCTGAGTTTATACTTTGTCACTTTTTGAACGACATTTAATAATTGTGGATGTAATTAAGATAGTTTGATACTGCTCAACAGAAATAGTTTAAAAACAAAAATTCTACAGATTGATCTAATTTTTCTATACATTCAACACAAAATAACTGAATGCATAAGTATTCTGTCTGTATTGGCTTTGGTATTGGTATGAATTTCAAGTAGAGCCTGGCTTATCAGAGATGGGGGTTAGGCCACAGAGTAGACTTACAGTGACCTCCTGGTACTGCTCCATTCCATTTAGCACCACCTGAATGACCTCTCTGCGCAACCGCACACTCTGGTCACTGCGGTACTCTGTGTTGGTCAGGTAGAAGAGAGCGGCACTGCCCGTCACCTGGACGCTCTTTTCATATTTATGGCACTTCAATGCTGCAATCACAAGCTGAAAGGACAGACATTTAAAGGAGAGGTATGTGAGAGTGGCACAGGAATAAAATGTGGAATTGTGGCATCAAGATTTAATTGGAAGTCACTAGTGTCACCTCCTATAAGAACAACTTAAACTGATCATACTTGCAAAGCTCGTAGCAATTGGCTGCAGTGTTGTATCCTTGCAATGTCAAACAGCTGATTGATGGCTCTGTGGGCCAGCTCAGGGCGGAACTCTGTGTAAGCCTCAATGGCATTCAGGACCTGGTCTTCGTTCTTTGATCCCGTCACCTGAAAAAGGCCGGCACCACACAGAATTAAATCACAGAACAAAACCTGTTAATAACCTGTTCATATTCACACGTGACTGTTTTTTGAAAAACAATTTTTTCATTTCAATCACAGAATGCTTTAACTAGTTTGTCAGAATGGACTGTCGCTTTAGTTGTAACCAATTATTATCAACCATAAATAGATATGTGTGTCCGACCCTTTCAATATCCGGTACCTTATAAGCAGGGATGTGTGTCACATTACAGAGGGTGGTGTCATACAAGCCCAGGAACTGCAGGGGCCTCTTCAACTCCTGGAAAGGATAGATGCTGCTCTTGCATGGCTCAATGCTAAAAGAGAGAAAAACCTGGTTTGTTCAGAAGTTCACTGCTCATCTGGGGTTAGATAACATACAGTACTAGAATTACTGCCTTGCAGTTGTATGTAGTGAAGTTGTAGTCACAGTTTACATCGATGTCTGTGAAAACATGAATGCTTCACACCCCGACAGCACTGAAGGTCTATATAATCAGCACAGTTTCAAGGTGGACAAGATTAGTGTTACCAATTCAGCATCTGACCAAATGTCTCCCCCTCTGTTCTTGAGATATGACATTAAATAATGACCTTTGGTTAAATAATGGTTTTTGCAGAACATTTGCAGAACGTTATGATGTCACAGTGATGTTGACCTTTGACTTTTTGGATATATATTGTCATCACTTCATACTTTCATCCCATTAGACATTTTCGTTAAATTTTGTCATAATTAGTATATGAATTCTTGAGTTTTGGCCAAAAACATGAATTATGAGATCACAGTGACTTTGATCTTTTATCTTTTGACCACCAAAATTTAATCAGTTCATTGCTTGAGTCTATGTCAAGTTTGTGCTAAATTTGAGGAAATTCTCTCAATGCGTTCTTGAGATATCGTTTATGAGCATAAGACAGACGAGGTTACAGTGACCCTGATCACCAAAGTCTTATCAATTCATCGTTGAGTCCAAGCGTTTTTGCCATAGTTGAAGAAATTCCCTAAAGGTGTTCACAGTGACCGACCTTTGACCACCAAAATCTAATCAGTTCATCACTGAGACCATGTGGACAGTTATGCAAAATTTGAATATATTCCCCCCAGGTGTTCTTGAAATACTGCATTCACAAGAATGGGACGAATGGACAAACAACCTGAAAACATAATTCTTTCGGCCACAACTATTGCCAGCGCGGAGGCATAAAAACTCTGAATCAGACATTTTTTACATCCTAGGTACACTCTGGAGTCGGTTAACCACCTTGGCCGTCCCATGGCTTCTTCAAAGTGTGGAACTGTGCAGTTGTCTTGCATAATGTGGCCTGAGATGTCCAGCGACACCAGGTTGACCAGACGCTGTACGATGGCCGTCAGGATTTTCCTAGTCATCTTAGATTTAGAGGTCCGTCTGCTCTCCCGCGAGATGTCAAGATGCCTGAGGAATGCAGAGTTTCGTCAATGACACTGACACATTCTTTTCAAATAATTAGTGGAACTTTTGTATTGGGGCAGGAAAATGAATACCTTTACAAATGTTATAAAAACTGATATTGTCTTTGCAATGGGAGCAAATATATTAGGACAGACTGGAAAACACCCAATCTTTTAATCCACTATCATTAAAAGATGTAAATCAATAAAAACAAAAGTGAAATTTTACATTTCTAATAAAATCATCCCATGCCTGCAAAATATCCCCATTAGTCCATTAGTTAAGGATGATGTAATTAGGTTACATTAGATATTGCATGTTCATTAAACCTGCAATAACTGATTTCTTTTTTTTTTTTGACAAAACTGACATGAGACATGAATTATATTTGTATCCTGTTTCACATTTTTATGTCATACATTATTGGAAAAATATCAATTATGGCTAGTGGTTGGACAAAATATTGACACTACAATATATCTTATTACTTACTCTTGTGATTCGTTACTGATACACCGGTGCCAAATATCAATTTTTTTTTTAAAACAGGTGCTCTAAATGGTTTCCCATGCCAATTTGAGTTTGACAAAACCAAGTCAAAAGTCTGGGCTTTTGCAACACAGCTGGACAAACAAAATCAATAAAGACTACGTGATATGTAATAACTGTCTCATAAACGTAAAGTACACGGGCAGCACAACGCCATCCAATTTGCATCATTCTGATCTCATCTTGGAGAACAAGTGAATGCCACCACAACTCTAAGTCAGCCTATAATGTGTTACAGTGGCACTAAGGGAACACTATATGCACTTTTTAGCACTTTGTTGTTTTTTTTCAGTTGTCAAATTCTATGAGACTGACACCACAATGCAGTGGAAAAAAAATTCATTATTCCTGATTTATGCTAGTTTTGGGGGTTCAGTGCCTTGCTCAAGGGCACCTCGGCAGTGCCCAGAAGGTGAACTGGCACCTCTCCAGCTACCAGTCTACGCTCCATATTTGGTCCGGACGGGGACTCGAACAGGCGAGTTCCCAACCCAAGTCCCTACAGACTGAGCTACTGGCGCTGTCTCCTGTCTTCTATGATGCGACGCCACATAACTGGGAAACTTTGTCTTGTAGCCCCTCAGAAGCAAGATCCAGCACCAAGCACCAGCCATGAGCCCACAAGTCCAGAGTGGGCACTACTTATTTGAACAGAATATAGATTCTGATATTGTTGAAAAGGATGTTGTGTTGTTAAGAATAATGTTGGAGATGTGCACTCATGTTGAAATAAATCTATTTTCTATTGTGAAGCAACCCTTACTTGCACTGAATTGGAAATATTTTAGAAAAATACAGTAAATTACAAGGCTTTAGAGAACAGTGCGCTATTGTAGACTTAACATGTAAGGTTAAAATAGGTCGTGATCTAAAGTGGGCCGGTCTGAGGCATGAAACTCCAGGGCTGAAAATGAGTCCCACTCCGGCCCTGCCTCCAAATGTGTGTCGAGGCAACACACCTGAGACGAAGAGCAGCTGCCACAAGCAGGTTCATTCTGTTTGTTGTTGATTATTTCCTTAAAAACTACGACTTTATTCTCGTAATATTATGACTTTTTTCTCATTAAATTACGACTTTATTCTCGTAATATGATGACTTTTTCTGTACTTTTCTTGTACTTATATACTCAAATCCAAACATTCAAATTTTGGTCAAAGTATGTATGTTTTGGTGTCAAAATGCTATTTTCCCAAGCCCCTCTTGGCACATTTCCCCACGTGACTTAGGTTTCTGTATGATGATGTTGCTACATAAAAATCCCCCCCAGCCCACTTGATGTTCCTCTTTGTGACTGAGCCAAGCCTCCTTTGAAAATTGTGTGTTATTGATCTTCAAAATTAGATCCTAATTGGCACATAAGGTAAGCAACGTACTGCTGTGGACGCCACATTAGTTTGGATCCAAAAGTCGCACAATAACAACAAACACTGTTATTGTGTGTTCTGTGCAGTAAAACTACTGTTTTTGTCAAACGAGTCTGGTGGCTTTGAGGAGAGCGATATAATGGTTTCAGTTTCCTAGGGCTGTGTGACAGCAAGATAAAGAAGTAAAAATAGTACAATGACTATGGATAGGTATCTCATACAACCCCACTTCAAAAAACCCAAACTAACCTTTTCAGTTATTATTTTCATCAGCACTCACCACTCTAACCTACACCATTGCTTTTTGCTGAGAGCTGAGTGGGTGTTTCCATTTAAAAAACCCTGGAAAGAAAGTAGAAGGGCCGGCCCAACATGGGACAAGAGTTGAAAATTAGCAAAAGCTAAAAACTTTCTGTACAGCACATCACTTTAATTCTCTGTACTGGAAGAATGTTAAATTACAATGTCCCCATAAAATAAATAAATTCAAATGAACCTAGCTTTTGACCATCTGATTTGCCTTAAGTGCCATTCAATAAGATCTGATGCTGGGCTGCTTTGACTTTTCTTCTACTGCTGAAGTTGAAGAAAAAAACATTTGTGGAACTACAACTGAACATTCATACTGAAAGAGAGACTGTATGACATTTTTGTAAACTTTTCAACTCCTTTGACCTAATCATGTCTATTAACAGATAAATAATAATATAACAGCTAATGTTGTGGTGCTGGGTGGAGAGCTCCAGGAAAGTAACTCAGCATTTTCTTTTTATCTGCGACACATTAGGTGCAGCAAATACATGTATAAATTTCCATTCCATCCTTCCATATTTTGCATATCTGAACTGGAATGCCATAAAATACATATTGCATGACCAACAGTTTTAAGCATTGCAGCTTTTCTTCTATTCGTCCACTGCTAAACCTCAATGTGGTCCTTCAGCATATGAGGGCAAATGCAGTTTCACTCAATACGTTTACATGACATTAGAAAAAGCTGAACTAAATCATATTTCTCAAAGTCGGACTAACACACCCAGATAATGTAAATGGGAATCAAATTACTCCTACATGGACCCAAACAGGCACTCTGCACATGCTTTACAGTCCCCCCCCCCCAGGCTTTGACCCACAAGTCAAATACCATTAAATGGGTAACAGAAGAAGAAGCTGGTAACAACATGCACAAAAAGTAAAGCATACAGCACGTACAAAATGTGCAGAGCTCTTAAGTTGTCCACCGCAGTACCAGTTTGCCGCCAGCTAACCATAGCTAACTTGTTTGTCGATTGTTTGGTCTGTGAAGTAATAGGTCAAAGGGGAAAAAGGTCCAATAATAACAAGATGATAGGGGGCATATCTCCACCTATCGCAGCAAAGTCGGACATACTTCAGTCAATAAATTGATTTCCCTCCCATGCTTGTATACTGGGGCAAGGACAGAAGGCCAATTAAATGGCCTTGTCGAGCTGTAACACCTAAAAGCACCTAAAAAGGATAGCAGATCCTCATCGAGGCATCTCTAATGAGTCCATAAACATTTTTATCTCTACAACTTTAGTCCAGTGGATAATTGTATTTTAACTTGGTTGAATGAGGTGAAGATACACAGAACTTGACTTCACATGCAAATTTCTACCACAACCTACATGTTGGTAAAATGTGTGCCATGGTCTGCCACTAGCATGTATGAAGCAGGCACAATCAACTGGCAATACACACAAGAAATGTAATTACAATGTATGTTAAGTGGCTCTACTGAACGGGCTGATGTACTCATTTGTCCCTCAATCTGTCAACCTATTAATCAAGAGTATGGCTTCTAAGTAGCCTGGGTTGAACACTGAATGTAATAGGTAATCAATAATTTGTTGCACTGCATTCCCTTTTTTTAATGTCTGTTTGTAGCATTTGTTGGAATATTTGTAGCATTTGTTAAATGGTTTTGTTGTTTGGTTAAATGTTTTGTATTTTTGTATTTAGGGATATTAAACAGTTGATGTCCTGGGACACACGACAAATTTCAGAATTCTTTCTGATAATGACGTAAAAGAGCACAGTGACTACTGGTACATAAAAGCCCACCTTACCTGAGATTAACGATCTCCACCACTGTATTGACCAACTCCTCTGACAGGTCCACATTGTAGAGAACAAGAGATGCCAGTCTGTGTTTCCACTGCGTGAGAAAAGTTGTTCCCAGCAATTGTACGTTAGACAGATCTAGTGAGGTGAGTGACTTCAGGGGTTTGAGCAGGGTCTCAGCATCCAACCCGTCAGGCAGGCCACCTAAGTTGAGCAACCTGAGGCGGTTGAACCCCTGAAAGTTAAAATCTGTCTCTAATGCTTGCCTAGAAGCAGGGCTCTCCTCCTCCTCGTCCTCGGTGTCTTCATTGCAGGCGAGAGGAGCGCCACGCTTCCTGTGGAAGATGTGGCTGCAGCCGAAGAGACAAAGAGACACCAAGGTCTCACGGAAGCAGGTCAGTGTTTTCAAGCTCCGGGATGTCAGACTGTTGCAGTAAGTGAGGTGGAGCTCAATCAGGTCCTGGAAGAACACACAAAGTAATTATTAGTGAATTTTTCAAAATTTCAATCACACTATGTATGCTACAATCATTAATGACTGGATTATCATCTCTAAATTGCTGTACACACTGTAGGAGTAGGAGCCACAGGTTAATTTACAATAAATTACTATTATGATACATTACTAGGGCTGTAAACTTCTGGTTGGTTGGTCAATTGGATGGTCTATATGCTCTTGTCCAACTAAATTCTCATTGGTCAGACAATCCTTGGTGTTATTTTAATAAGGCTGTGTGCCCACCAAAGCGTTTCTTTTTCCAGCTGGAAACAGCAGTTGTTGTTGTTCAGCACTTGTCCTCTCTGACTGCTGGTCTTTGTGGTATTTGTCCTGCCCCTTCTGCACTGTGATTGGACGGTTGGTGACCATTTTACCCAAAGTTAAACATTTCCCAACTTTCATTTTTAATCGGAAAAACGGATAAATAATCACAAAAGACACTCAGTGTTGGATTTTATCACCATGGATTTATTTTATCTGGCCTTCGAAGAGAATCTGCAGTTCAAGGCTGGATTCTAAAGCTTCTGAAAGAGATACGATCACACCTGTGCCTGTGTTAGAATGGCACAATAATAATAATAAACTTAATTTATAAAGCACTTTTCATTTATAAAAAAAATCTCAAAGTGCTACAGCACACAGTAAAAAAGGTAGATCAATTAAAACATTATAAAAACAAATTCAAAAAGTCCTAGGCCAAGTCAAAAGTTTCTTTAAAAAAGAAAAGCCTTTAAGCCTCTCTTAAAGGCATCCACTATCTGTCGGGCTCTGAGGTGGCAGAGGGAGGTGGTAGGGAGTTCCAGAGACGAGGGGCAGCGAGAATGGCTTAAGTTAGCTTCTGGGCTAAAAACAGTAAGTCTTTCTCTTGCATGCAGCGTTACAGAGATGTTTAATGAAAGTTATGTTATGTTGTACGTGACATCGTCAAGCCCAGAGTTTACTTTTATAGTGTCCCATATGTTAGATTTTCAACGCTAGGTGGTGAGACAAACTCTTTTTCTATTTTCAGCGGTTTGTAGCCCTTGGCCAGGAACAACAGGTGAGGTCAGGACTTTATAGAAAAGTAACCACCAGGTAGTAGCAGCACGCATCTAAGAGGAGGCTACAAAAATGGTGGATGTAGCGCTGACAAATGCAAGAAATGCAAAGCAAACGGCCCAGGAGACAAATTTTGCCTGCTAGCCTGTTAGCTTAGTTAGCTTACTTAGTTTGCTTAAGTACCGGCTTTCCCATTACAACAAATACAGTGCTCCAGGGCTGGGGCCTCATGTACAAAGACCTGCGTGGATTTCCTACTGAAACATGGTGTACGCTTGAATCCAGAAAACGTCGTACGTACAAAAATATCCAGATGTATGAATCTGTGCGTACACATGAATCCAAGCACATTTCCTTTGTACATCCCAATCAACGTGGAATTGAGCGCCCATGTTGGAGTACCCGACCCCTCCCTGTCCACGCCCCCATTTAAATATGCAAATCATATTTAAATGAACCCTGCACCTGAGATTCCCCTATCTGCACGATCAGAAAACTAAAACAAAAGAATGAATAAGACGGGGAAAAAGGAAAATCTTCACAGAATGCGAATTGGAAACGCTACTCATTTAAGTGGAGACGCGCAAAGATGTACTTTTTGGCACGCTGTCCTCCGGCATCAATACAAAACACAAGAGGAGTGAGTGGGAGAGTGTGTGTGAGGCTGTCAATGCAGTGGGGTCAGAAAAGCGTACACACGCAGAATTAAAAATGAAGTGGTCCGACATTAAGGTGGACGTGAAGCAGAGGAGGGCTGCCCACCGCCAAAGTGTGGCCAAAACAGGCGGGGGGACAGGAGAGGAGGAGCTCACCCGTCTGAACAGAGAGTCGCCTGGGGTCAGTTGAAAGCAGACAATTAATTATGTGAACTGGATTTGCAGTTTATATTTGTTAATTTTATACACCACTTAGACGAATCACACACTATTGTCTATTGTTGTAAATGAATGCAGAAGTGCGCCGGGGAAAAGGGGAGGCTCATTAGGAAATGTCGCACTTTACGCACGGTTTATTGACATGAGTACTTTACACACAGAGACAATCAGGGGCTTGTTCGAAAGCTCTGAAGCTGTAGTTTAAAAAACAACAAGTCACTAACTTTAACCACTGACTAGTACTGATGCTGTGAAGGCAGGATAATATTTGGGGGCGCACATATTCAGTGTGCATCATGGGGATTGATATTAGGACAACTAAAGGAATAAATTATTTACTCACCAAGAAGCCACCCATCGCGCACAGTGCCAGCTTGTAGTCTGTTCCCAACCATGCTGTTACTCAGAATGTATGAATCATGCACTGAACCAGGCCACCTCGCCACAATGTTGGTTAATTGCATTTGTGCATCACATATGATCTGTACATTGATCGAATGAAAATGCTTCCTGTTGACAAAAACAAATTCATCCTGCGATGGCGCTTTTATAATGTGTGTACAGTCGAAAGCTCCGGTAACATTAGGAAAACCGGCTCTCGCTGCAAATTGCGTTTTAATGTTGGCCTGTTCAGCTGCATATGGGAATTTGATATACCTGGCTGACATGCGGATAATTCCGTCCCACACAGCTGGCATGACTCGGCTCAGGGTCGACTGGCACAGTCCCGATCGGTCGGCCAGCTCCCTCCGGAATGCCTGTGTTGCTAGGAGTCCCGGTGTGGTCAGCACCTGTATGGATACAGGCAGCGCATGGCTCCTCGCTGTATCACGGTCTAAGGTCGGCCGCAGCTCTGCGCACAGTTCCAGGAGGATTGCCCTTGGGAACCAATGCGGCAAATACTGCTAAAACGTTGTTAACGGTATTTTTGGCACCACTTTGCGCATGCTTTTATATCCACTAATCTAATAGCAAACACGTGGGTGTGTTAATTGTTCATCAGTGTTAATTGTTCATGTGTCTCTGATGTGCACATCACTCTTGAGGACTAATTGTTTTCACATTTATTTATTATAACAGTTTCCCAGCATCACCTCTAAGTGTCGCCAAAGGATCAACAGCTGTAGAAACGTGCGTACGTCAGCCATGAAGTTGGCGTGAGGCACCGCACATTTCCACGGTCATTTCACTCTTGATACATCTGAACTTTGCCGTGGAAAAGGACGTACGCCACGTTTTTGTGCGTACGCACCCTTTGTACATGAGGCCCCAGATGTTTTTCTGTAAGCTGATGAGGAAGTTAGCATCGCTTTGGTTCCCTCGTCAAAAAGCCTATGGGCTTTTTCCATTGGCTTTTAGATCATCGTCCAAAATAAACCTACAAACTTGAAAGCCTAAATGCAATTGCCAGAATTAAAAAGCTAACATTAGGCTACGAACAAATTAAGCTTCGGTCCCATGACATAACATCACCACCATAACAAGACTAAAGTTGTTTTTAGCGCAGCTTGGCATAAAGACATTCTGTGGTCTCATTTAGCCACTTCTTAGCAACCGACTTTTTTAAGACACATAGAAGCTTCAAAGGTCTTGAGCGGGGTTTTTACTGACGTATTTTATGTCATAGAACAAAACATGAAAGTCTCTTAAGCTTGTGTTAACCAAAGACCCTAATTCAGGCATCTAATCGAAAACCCATTTTAAAAAAAAAACTTGACTTTGAGACGAGGGAACCGGGAAGGCATAAATGCTAACTTACTTCCAGGTTTTAGGACTTATTTCTGGGGTACTCCATGTAGCATTCCTACATCAGTGCTCTAACTAACAGTATACATATGATCAGTGCAGGGGGGAGGGGCCAAGATTGAATGCTGCATTTACAAAAAGTAATACCTCTTTCACAACAGTGACCAGGGTCATTCTAACTGCTAAATAAAACTTGCTCAAGGAACTCAATGGTCTGTTTTGTGAACATGGATAATCATTTAAAAACACAAAAACCAGATCTGGTTGAACATTTTACACATGAACAGGTATGTTCTGCACCTGCATGAGAGGACATACCTCACAATAACAGCAAATGGCAGCAGTCTGTAATCGTCATTCAAAAAATGAATCAGAAGGCCCTCTTGAGGTTAGTGAGCCAGTTAGCTCATTAACAACCCAATCCAATGTTGAAAGAACAGAGCATATTTACTGTGCGCCAGTGAACAATAACATAACCATTTGGAAATGTTTCTGCTAAAAATGACCAGTGGCCAATGAGGGCGGCACACACTCACCAACGCCCAAACATTGACCGAGAATCGACCGTCGGCTTGGTGTGTCAGTACCTTTACAAAAGCCATCTTGTTTTGTTTTTCCATTTTTTCAACAATCAGCAACTCTAGTTTGGTCAAAATAAAACCCTTAATTCACCAGTTATTTGTGAAAATATGCTGACTCTATACACTCTTTAGGGATCCTTTCCATGATGTTTTCAACCACTTAGAATAACAGTCTGAGCCTGTCAGTGGCAAAAACACTTAAAGTGGACATACACTGGCGGTGGTGCAAATACCCCACTTGGTTACACTGCAGCCTGTTTCACAGCTACTGGCTGCAGTGCTCTTATTCAATAATGGACCAGTTTCAAAAAGTGATGTTTCCATAAGTCATAGACATAAAAACCTGGGGAAATAGGGTACAGGTTGAAAAATACCTCAGTGACCCTTTAATTACTGCCACAAAGACAAACCTAAACTGTCCATTATAACCATTAATTGTTTTCTAAAATGGTGCATACCAACAGTAAGTCAGGTAGATCAACACTGAGTGAGGAAGTTAGTGGTTTTCCAAAATCTAACATTTACATTTAAAACTGATAGTTAAGTTAATAACTTAAGTTAATAACTTTAAGGTTCTCCTTAGTTCTCATTTTTAAATAAAAAGGTTTAGATAATAAAGTTGCTTGTGCTACGCTGTTTCATACACACTGTCAACTGGTAACTGTCTCTAGAGTTACAGTGGGAAATGAGTAGAATGTTATCATACACTGATGGGAGAGAAAACTACAAAAAGATTGAAACTGTAAAAAAACAACAATAGTCCTTTTAATTTTAGTTTCCTAGTTGACATTTTCCACAGACTTACTCTGAAAAACTGGTCTCTGTCTAATTTCTGACATCCCACCTGTTTTTTTATGGCCTCCAGATCTCTGTCACCTATGAAGTCCTCTCTAAGCTGTACTCTGGTCAGTCTGGTGCTGCGAGGGTCTGAGAATAGTTGGAAGAAGCTCTCCTCTGGTTCAAAGTTACTGTCTGTGTGGACCAACTCCATGTATCTGTTAAACAAAAAAATAATACAACACTGAATCTAAAGCCCCTTTCAGGCATGGTATTGCTAATACTCTGACAGACATGGGGCATCTTGCCAGAATGAAAATTAAGAAATTTACTTACGTGTTGACCAGCTTGTCGCAGATTTCACTGGGGAGGAAGATGTCCGAGCGCAGACAGAGCTTGTTCCTGAATCCCTGGTAGCACATGGTCTTCCTAAGGTTCCTCAGGCAGAAGATCGTTGCCAGAGTCATGAGGCTGTCTGGGTTGTCTCCTGCTTTGGCTGCCATGTTAGCCTCTTTTTCTCTGGCTCAGATCAAAGACAGGGCAGTACAGGGGACCTTAGGAGACAATGAACAGTAGTAAAAGGATTTGGAGAAATTTCTTTTCGCAGGAGGCTGCTTCTAGCAGGACACAGCAAAAGAGTTACACTTGACATTCTGACTTGGATAATTCATATTTCCAATGTGATGGACGCAAATGTGAACCTCCCATTCTTGAGAACTGGGCCAAAAAAAAAAAAAAAAATCCTAAAATTAATACTTACCAATGCACTAATTTCCATTCTTTTTAAATGTACTAAAATATGTGATTTCTAAAATATTTTGATATGCTTTTGTTTTGTTTATTTAAACATTAAACTTGGCCTCTGCCAGAAACAGTCTTGTCCCAAATGAGAATTTCCAACTTCCAACACATCAAAAAGGTGTTAGAAGCCTTCAAAATGTAAAACTAACTTTACAAATTGATAACATTGATGTAAAAATGTACTGTTATAATCACCATTGTTTTAAAATGTTTTTTGTAAAACTGTTGACCCTTGAAAGATGTGTCGTACATTTTTGTCAACTCCTTCAGATACAAAACTACAAAAACATAATTTAATCAGGTATAAAATATTAATATTAATAATAATAACTTGTAGACTTTGTAATTTTGTAGAGCACTTTTCAAACTTCCAAGTTGAAGAAAATACAAAACAAGAGTGATATTAATAAAATATAACCATATGCATACACCTACATAAACATATAATCACATATATCACTGTAAGCCTGCAAATATATATACGTGGCTGCAAATACATACACACGCACAGTCTATCAACTGTCAGGAAGGGCCAATCTGTAAATGTAAGTTCTGCAACAAGATTTAAAGACGTGAACAGAGTCAGCTGATCTGATACTCAGTGGGAGGCTGCTCCAAAGCCAAGGGGCAAGAACTGAAAAGGCTCAATCACCCTTTGTTTTTAACCTGGACTCTGGAACAGTTAGAAGACCCAGACCGGCAGACCTGAGGGGCCTGTTTGGACGGTACAGTGTGAGAAGCTCAGTTATGTACTCTGGTGCCAGATCATTAGAGCATTGTACGTGATTTAAAAAAGGAGTTAGCCATATCACAAGGACTCTGTCTCACTTCCTGGTTTCCAAAAAGGTGGGAATGCTGCTCAAGTACTGGTAAGCTTTCTATTTCTTGATGAGTTCATAGGGTGTGTCTCAACCATAACAGGTTGATGCCGTAGTTCTTTTAAATCCAAACTAAATAAGAATTATGGTTTAAAAATTAGTATTTTGATTAAGAGAGCTCTTAGCATCTTTGAAACATAAAATGGCTCCTCACTACAACAGCTTTGAAATTAATAAATACATGGCTTTTTGTCAACTCTGTCAGAGCTTACCTCTGACATTCATTTTGTATGCTATTCCAGAAAGGTTGGCCCTTTACAAAGTTTACGTGTCAAGACTTTTATATTTTAAAATATATTTTAGAGAATACAAAACCCAGAAAGTAAAGTTGTGTCCTAAGTCACTGTGATTTTAAGTGCAAAAATAAGCTACTATGACCTCCATTTTTCCACTGTTTTTGGCATTTATTGCAGCTGAACATTACTGTTTTGGATTCCTATACATTTTCTTAAATAAAATGTTCAGTGTGGTGCCCTTTTACCTTGGACCATGTGACAAACAAAATACAAACTGACTGCAGACATAGTTAGCAATCAAAGTAAATGACATTCAATCCAAAATAATGGCAAAACATCAAAGACACTGCCAAGGCATTACAATTATCTCATGTTCTATACACTCTTACAGTATTTTCTGTGTGTACTAAATGAACTGGTTGACATATTACTGTCAAAATGCCTTAGCTCCCCAACAACCTGAGCCCGCATTTTTATTTTTAGACCATCTCTTTGCAGGCGTTGTGGACCTTTTCATGCTTAGCAAAGTTAATCGTCATGCCCATGGCTGGCTATTGTTAGCAACTAATGTTGGCTACTTTGTAACAACTTGTTTTTACCTTACGGTTAGTAACAAAATTATCTAATATTATCTACAATAAGCTGAATGACTCCTGCTGATAAGCTGAAGCTAGTAACCTAGCTTGCCCTGTCTTTTTGTCGGTGCTAGTTAGTAATAGCAATGAATCCTGGCAGACACAGTAGATTGATACTAAGTTAGCTAGCTTTCCAGCTAGCTACACTGTACAATTCTTTACTTTAACACTAACGCTAGGTAGCTGCTAACACACAGAAAACAACTATAAGCCTTTTCACTCACAACATCCCAAAACACCAAAGAGCAACACTTGTTATTCTAAGTTAAGCCTAAACTTGCCGATACGGTGTCACCAGTGCATTTAACCTCTCAATTAGCTTGTGTCTAACGATGACTTTCTCTGCTATGATGCAAGCTAACAACGCTAGTGGGGCTAGCGCTAGCTTACAGCTTTATGTGGAAATGCAAGCTACAAACGGTCAGCGGTGTGTGAGCAGATGGCTCACCAGGCACTGGTTTACCTTAGCTTTCGCCAAGGCTGTATGTCTTGATGACGGCGAGAAATTGAGTTATTATCATCAGTCTTCACTCATCTGATAGTCGTTTTTACCCGATGTCAACAAACGGATAGCTCCTCCTCCTTCTACTTCTTCTCCTCCTCCCCGTTTTCCCCCATCTCCTCTTCCTGTTCCTCCTCCTCCTCTTCTTCTTCTTATCCCATTACTTGTCCATCCAATTATTATTTTGGTCTTTGTGTCACCAGTAAATATCTTTTATTCCTGTTTTATTAACTTGATGCATGTGTAGGCTATATAATTATTGGTAGATGTAATTACTAGTCGTAATCGCTGTATTAATAAGCACTGTATGAGCTTCATGGTGAAGTTATGGTCATTTTACAGCATATGTTTGTATAAAGATAAGAAATCACAGCAAAAACATAACATTTTTATAGTGGAGTGATGAGGTGGAATTGAGGACCCACACCATGAGGAAAGAAACGGACAATAGTATAATTAAGCAAATTAGTAAGTGTTATTGGGCTGTTATTGAGCTACTTTGAATTCCTCATTACTTTTGGCATTCCTGTTACCCTAAAGGAGTTTGAATTCTCCTATAAGAAGCAGAGTGATCAGCTTGTTAACCCACACTTGACCAGTAGGCAACTGCAGTAGGTAAAATCTGTCTGACTACTAGGCTACCTAAAGAAATAATTACAGTAATATATGTTCATTATTTTAAAAAGATGTTATTAGTACCCCTGCTGCTGTACCCTATTAGTCTAGATTTGTTGATAAACTGAATTGGAAAAATGTTTGAAATCTTCATACAAATACATCTTTACTAATAAAATAAAGAAAATTTCCTTTAAAATCATACGTATAGTGGCATGCAGAAGTCTGGCCACTCCGGTCAAACTTTTGTTTACTGTGAATAGTTGAGTAATTAGTAGATGAAGTTAAAGATGACACATTTCTTCAATATTTTAAGCAAGATTACTTTTTAATTTCAACCTTTTACAATATCAAAATAACAAAAAATGTAAGGGGCTGAAAGCAAAAGTTAAGCCACCCTGCATGGTCATTACGTAGAAGTGGCCCCCTTTAACAAGTATCACAGCTTTTAAATACTTTTCGTTACCAGCTTAGAGTCTTTCAGTTCTTGTTTGGGGAATTTTCACCCATTCTTCCTGCAAAAGGCTTTTAGCTCTGGAGATTCTTTGGCCATCTTGCATGCACTGCTCTTTTGAAGTCTATCCACAGATTTTTAATGATGTTTAGGTCAGGGTAGTATGAGGGCCATGGCAAAATCTTCAGCTTGTACCTCTTGAGGTAGTCCATTGTGGATTTGGAGGTGTGTTTTGAATTATTGTCCTGTTGCAGAACCCAGCCTCTTCATCTTTTTTTACAGATGGTGTGATATTTGCCTCCAGAATGTGCTGGAATTTAACTGAATCCATTCTTCCCTCTACCTGTGAAATGTTTCCCGTGCCACTGGCTGCAACACAAGCCCAAAGCATGATCAATCCACCCCGTGTTTATCCGTTGGACAGGTGTTCTTTTCATGTGATTCTGCACCCTTTTTTCTTCAAACATACCTTTGCTCATTGCATTCAAAAAGTTCAGTTTTAACTTCAGCAGTCCACAGGACTTGTTTCCAAAAAGCATCAGGCTTGTTTAGATTTTCCTTGGCAAACTTCTGACGTTGATTTTTTTTTTCCATAAGGGCAAAGGAAAGGTTTTCTTCTGATGACTCTTTCATGAAGGTCATAGTATTGCTACACAGCAGAACAGTGCACCACCACTCCAGAGTCTGCTGGATCTTCCTGCAGGTCTTTGCAGTCAAACGGAGGTTTTGATCTGCCTTTCTAGCACTCCTACAAGCAACTCTCTGAGAAAGTTTTCTTGATCATCCAGACCTCAACTTGACCTCCACAGTTCCTGTTAACTGCCATTTATTAATTACATTACAAACTGAGGAAACAGCTACCTGAAAAGACGTTGCTATCTTCCTACAGTCTTCTCCTGCTTTGTGGGCATCAGTTATTTTAGTTTTCAGAGTGCTAGGCAGCTGTTTATAGGAGCCCATGGCTGCTGATTAATGGAGTCAGAAAATGTATAAAGCTTTGAAATTTGTATTACATGGCCTTTCCTAACAATGGCTGTGATTAAGCTATAGCCCTAACAAGCTAATTAAGGTCTGAGACCCTGGTAAAAGTAGTCTGAGAGCTCAAATGTCTTGGGATGCCTAAAATTTCGCATGGTGCTCCTTGTTTCACTCTAAAATCAACAATCAGCCTCTTGGTTCTGCTGACACTGAGCAGAAGGACGCTCTCTGTGCACCACTCCACAAGATTGTTGATTTCTGTCCTTTATGGGGAAAAAAAGAAAGAAAATGGCTGTTCCCTTAACGGCAGTATTGAGTAAATGGATGTTATTGTTTTGTTTTGTTTTTTCAAAATCCATCTACACAAAAAGTTAGTTCCTTTGAAAAAAAAATCTGTTTGCGTAACCTTAATTAAAATATATTTATTCATTCATTGATTCATTTTCAGTAACCAGTTATCCTGTCAGGGGTTACGGGGGGGCTGGATCCTGTCCCAGCTGACAAAGGGGCGGGCTACACCCTGGACAGATCACCAGACTGTCACAGAACTGACAAATACTGTAGAGATTAAAAAAACCCATTCTTGCTCATGTTTACACCTACGGCCAATGTAGAGACACCAATTAATCTAGCCTGCATGTCTTTGGACTGTGGGAGGAAGCCGGAGTACCCGTAGAACACCCACGCTAACATGTGGAGAACATGCAAACACCGTACAGATGGAATCCCCCACCCCTGGTTCGAACCCTCTTGCTGTAAGGCAACAATGCTAACCACTGCAACACTGTGCCAAAAACATTCAGAAGAAACTTAAGTGGGTTAGTTGTTCTCCACCTTCCTTACTGTTTACCCTTTTATGCAAATATATTGCGTGCCAAACTGTTCCAACATGATTTATTTTCTGTTACACTTCTTTCGATCTCTACTTATCTCTGAAATTATGAAAATTACTGTCTCAGGCTCCAGGTGGAAAACTCCCCCAGGACCCCAGGAGAGTGTATAAATTGGGTTAATTCTGAATTTGTTAGAAACATGTTCTCCACTAAATTAGGCTATATATCAACTGAGGCAGGTCCTGATCTTGCAGCCCTGTTTTGGGCCATGTCAGGATGGGCCCAGCAGCACATTTGCCTCATAGCACCTCCCTAATCCAACCATTTCATTGTCCTCTGCAGAGCTTTCCTTTCACACTGTTTACACAGGAATAAACACAAAAAGTTGTTTCAAACATTTATTTATTTATTTAGTTAGTTAGATGCCTTTAACCTTCAAACAAACACTTATTTGGTGTCTTTGGTGGAGAGGCATAGAACCAACTACTGTTCATGGCTGTGCATGCACACATGGTATTAGATTTCTTACTCACTGCACTGCAATGAGAGAATCATCAGGCAGTCATATCATACATAGGGTATGTGTATTCATCACTATGTGCTTCAGGCAGCATGGTATGCACTGCAGCTGTCGAGGGGGGGAAGAGAGTGACTGACACTTGGTCCACTGCATAATATCTCAACAACTACTGTCCAGATTTCCTTGAGATCTGGTAGCAATATTCATGATCCACAAAGATGAATGTTACACATTCTCTGTAACCTGCTGGCCTTTGATCTGGCACTGCCATCCTGCTGAAATTTCCACTTGTACACAAAATAAATTGAGAGATTGCAATGAAACCGACTGTTCTAAAAGTGATAAACTCTCTCTTGATCCTCAACCTCACCTCTAGCCCCTCCACCACAGGACAAATTAGAAATTTCAACAGTAAATTATCAGTACATTGTTTATCATAGAGTCCCTGTGCCAACACCCTGCACAGAGATTAGGAGGGACAAAGGGTTAATAGTTGCCTGGGACGTAGATGAATCTGAGGCGAGCTCATGTTTTATTAGCTCTGACAGTAATTTGCATTTGCGATTTGGTTTGGCAAAGTCAGGCTAGGTTAATAGGGGCCCAGCAGCTCATTTTTGCCACAGGCCCCATAGCAGGTTAATCCAGTAGTGTCTGTGGAGTGTGGGTGGAACTCAAGAGAACAAACCAAGGCTCGATATGGAGCATCTGTTAAATCACAGGACCTATTCAATTCGATTCTAATTCAATTCAGTTTTATTTATAAAACTCAATATCACAAATCACGGAAAACTCCGCCAAAAAACCTTTAACAGGGAAAAAAAATGGTAGAAACCTCAGGAAGAGCAACTGAGGAAGGATCCCTCTTCCAGAACGGACAGATGAGCAATAGATGTCGTACAGAACAGATCAACATAATAAATTTGCAGTAATCCATATGACAAAATGAGACATAAAGAGAGAGAAAAAGAGAGAGAGCGAGAGAGAGAGAGATGCAGCACAGTACTTTGTGTAGTAGTATGTAGTACTGTAAGTATATATTAATGTATGACAGTATATGTACGTGACAACATTCTTCCAAGCTGTTTGATATCACATACATATTGTGTGTCCTTTTATCTTACATATGTTACATATTACATCATGCTCAGGGAGGGCAGGGTGAGAAAATTATTCATTATTTTTTATTATTATTTTTATTATATATTATTAAAATATTCTGAGCAGGAAAAACACAGTATGCGTAGTGTAACCATCCTATGCCATTGAGAATCAATGTGATTATGTGAACAGGGAAAAAAATAATAACAGGGTGTAGTTCCTCTACACCCACAAGCCTTGAGGATCCTCAGACACAACACAACTTAATTAGGATCAGTCAACTAACTAGAGACCATCTTGTGATGGGATCACACCAGCCATGACACCAAAGCTGTGTGTGGTGCAATGGAACACATGATATGAGTGAAGTAAGTTTGGCTGAACAGTTAAACTCTGCCAGATTTATTTAATATGACCTGTATCAGTAGACAATAATGATCCACTGAAACTGGGATACAGTGATCCTGTGACTTAAAACGAATGTGGGCCAGGGGTGTAAAACGCGGGGGACCAATGATCCCTTCTGTATCTCCTGCCCCCTTCTTTTCCCCTCGTCATCTTCAAACTCTGCTTTCAATGTGCACTCAACCACATAGTGCTGGGGTAATGCGTTACAAAAGTAACAAAAGTAATATGTCACAGTTACAAGAGTAACGTGTTACAGTAATACATTACTTTTTTGCAGTAACAAAGTAAGTAATATAACGTGTTACCAACAGGATTTGAGTAATATTATAACATTTACAATATCACGTAACGCACCCGAAATAAACTGTTTATTATTTCTATTTTTCATTTATCCACACTGATCCACACCACTCCACTTCCACCAGTGCACCACCAGAAAAGATGTCCCCTGAAGGTTACTGTGTCTTGTCATGTAATCATATGCTACATTACAGAAGGGTGCCAATGATCATGTGCATTATCATGATCAGTGTGTTTCCATTAATATACCAACAACATATCTCGCTTTGCTTTTATGTCCTAAGGCTGCCTGACAGCATATAAGAGATAAGGAGGTGGCCTCCAGTTTGTTTTTTTCTTGCCCCCATGATTGGTGCATCTGGGTGATGTAAGTATATCTTGGATATGTTTCCATTCACATCACATACAACTGGAGAGCACACAGTCCTGTTATTATGCGTAACTCTCTCTCCGGCGCTGCTGTAGCTGACTGGCATGCCAGGAACCGGCAGGTGGTTCTTCTAACTCTAGTGTTTCAATTTGCGCTTATCATAGAGACTGACTTGCACACTATTCTGTTTGTTGTGCTAACCCTTAACATTTGTTTATTGTGTTTCATAGGCCTACAAATATTTATCCATATCTCATAATTTATCAGACTTTGATCCTCTGCCTGACCCTCCCTGTGTCCAAGGCTATTCATTTATTTTAAAAGGTCTAGACTATTTAATGGTTCTATATCATTATGCTATCATTAACATAAGCAGTTGATTTTAATACAAAGTGGTAACCACTGTATGTGAACACATGAATGGGTCAGATCTGTGCAGCACTGCATTTGAAATGACCTGTAATAAACTGGAGCTTCTGTGCTTTGATTACCTGCTGTGAAACAACATGACCCTCATCTATTTAAAATGAACATTAGCTCTTCTGAGCTTATTTTGGTGACAGTAATTTTGGTGTAATAGGAAACTTATTACTCTATACAGAGAGTAATATTGTAAAGTGACTTATTACTTTCAAATGATAGTAACTAGTAATATGTAAAATATCACATTTTGAGAGTAACTTGCCCAACACTGATCATACCTATGACATTTGTGACTAGATTTTGCTAATTTTGGCCTTGTCATTTTTGTTTTTCTTATTTCAGTTCAGCACATCAGTAAAATACCTTATTCAAGCTTCGTGGAGATTTGTCTTTGTTCTTTTGGAAGCAATTAAGCTATAACCACTTTTGGTTATGGTCATTTCCATAGGAAAGTTAGGGTTTTGTTTGATTTCATAAAGGGAGCTAATACTTTTGACTTGAACTGTACTTACTTGTACAATCTCCTCATTTAAATACTAAAAGCCTGTCTGCCCCCTAGTGGTAGTCAGGAGGTATGTCACTTTCTACCTACGGCCAACACACAGAGGATCCACTAACAGTAATGCTGTCCAGCAGTGTAGCAGCTGTGACAATAACACACAATTAGTTAATTAACATTTAGTTGATCGAATATGGCCTATCTATACCTGCACATTTATTAAGATTCTACCTGTATCGACAACATTTACAGTTTTTCTCAACTGTTTACATGCAATTTTGAAAACAGGGCTCCTTTTTTTCAAAATATTCACACAATTATCCAAACACCACACTCAGTTTGCATAACTCCTAGATTGTTTGCAAAATGACACACTTCAGTCAAAACATATACACATATTTATAAAAATGATGTTATGTTTTCATCTCACTAACACAGTCTTCAAATGATCAGACACTATTGCAGTCAGTTACACACTACAGTGATCAATACAAAATACATTTGTAAAAACCCCTATTTTAGGAAATAGCTGGTCTAGTGCTAGACTTTTTTTGCCAGACATTTTTATGTAAGGGATAATTTAGATGACAAAAAGATATTGTCAAACCCACAAAATTCTTCATGATTACTTTGAGGTATACAGAGAAAGTACACAAATACAACAAACAAACACAACACTGATTGCAGACTGCTGCAGACTGAAAATATTTATTTCTTACCATACACAGTTACAGTAACAGATCAACAATGAAAATCAGAACAAAATAGTAGTTTTTCTTACTACTGTAAAGTGTTGACAAATAAAAATTCCTCTATTGGGTTTAGGAATGGGGAGTATGGTGGAAGGTATAAGACTGCAAATTCAGGGTGCTCATGGAACCAATTGTGGACCAGAGCAGATCGATGGAAAGATACATTGTCCCAAACGACAATGTACTGCATGTGGTCCACTTGGTTTACAGTAAGCACCTGTGTGCTTCCACACCAGGTGGATGTGATTATCCAATTCGTTCATTAGTGTGGTCGTTGGCAAGCAGGGGCTTTGTAATGAGAAGGAAGTAACCTCACAATCCTTATGTGTCTAAAGTGTGATAACGCGTGTAGAGTTTTGCAAATCACTGTGTGTAATGTTTTGCAAAAAGTGTGAAGCTGAGTCTGTGCTTATTGTTGTGCAACTATGGACAGGTGTTTTGCTTCTTGAGTGTAAAGAGCTGTTAATTGTGTGAAAATTTTCATTTCAGTGCGTAAACAACTGTAAAAAACTGTAACACATTATTATAGTTAGAAAATACTTAAAATGAGTAGTACTTAAAATTAAACCTGCGTTACTAAATGGCACTGGGGAACAAATTAGGGAACAAAGCGTTTTGTTAAGGGAACAACCCTAGCATATGATCCCACTCACTGTCACGCAGATCTGCCGTGGATCCAAACAGCGGCGTGGTGTCTGCCCACTGTGTTGTTGTGAAGACGGAAGTGATAGGAGGACTTCCCCCCTGGCCATTAATTCATTCCTTTTTGGAAACACTTAAAGGAATACACCGCCGCCTGCCCAGACATGTCTACCGCATACAAAAACAGGTGGGACACATCTAAATCTTCGTTTTTGCATGTAATGCAGGACACACAGATAGACTATAACCGGTGCTACATCATGTTTTGCAGCGGTTAGCATCCTTTACCGCAAACTGGTATTAACTTCAGTGTTTAGCTAGCAGCAAAAGCAGCTCAGCTAATCAAACATGAGCTAAGTTTAGCTTTTAGGCAAGTATTGCAAAAACATTAAATTCCTACGTGCTGATATGACTTTACATTTACTGTCAAAAACAGCGAGGCTTTAGCGTCAAAAGTTAACGTTAACTAATACAACAACTTCATCGTTTTAAGTAGCTACGCTAGCTCCCTGTTAGCACATCAGCTGACACATCATACTTCCTTAAGCCCTAACTGGCTAACAATTAGCTAACATTCAGCGAGCTGGATCTGCTGACAGTGTAAAGGTGAAAACATATGTCACCTATCTCCAGTTAAACTGCTGTCCTGATGTTATATTACCTCGTGACAAATTAGACAGATCACGCTTCCTTTGATAAACGCTTTGGGCTCAGCATAGAGGCATTACTTTCATCAAATTTTCCATGATATTTCCATTTTCTCTGCTGTAATGTACTTTAAACCACAGTGTCAATCCCAACTGTTGTATGTTATAACTTTTAATAATGTTTGATTGTGTGTATTGCACGTCTCAAGTTATTTTAAGGGTTATTTATTTCTCAGATATATACAGAACAATACCATCTTCCCCACAACTCCTTACAAATCGGTTTTACCCACAGAATAAACAGGGTTAAGGTTAGAGTTAAAAATGAGGCATAAGGGTTTTTAACCCTTTTTAATCACGATCGATTGAATTTTGATACATTTCTTAATTGGAAAATGTTTGTATACATGCTGTATGTATGTAGCAGATGCACAAGGCCCCATACTCAGCCGCATCTATATAACTGAAAAAATACTAGGGATGCACGATATTGGAATTTTTTATTTATTTTTTGCTGATATCCGATATGCCAATATGTAAGAACTCATTTGACCAACAACCGATACTGATATCAGTATATCCACTCTTTTCCATACCTAATATTAGTGACCATCAAGTCTCTTCTGTAGTGGAATTAACATCATATTATGCATGCATACTCTTATTGTGAGGGCCCACCAGCAGATTGAGACATGAAATACATTGCTTTTCAATGTATGTAATAGTCATTCATTGTGCAACTTAGAAAAAAGCATGTTAGCGGATTCTGATAGTTCATTTTAAAACCAATATTGGCTGATGACCATGGTGTACTGGTATAATCGTCCATTCCTAAAAATACTGATATGGTGGTAAAATGTTTTAATTAAAATGATGGCAGTCTAACAATAAATACTAAAAATAACTATTTTCACTGACCATCACCACCAGGAGATGTTTTTACCATATGGTAGACTACTTAAAATGTACACTGAAATACTAAGCACAGTTGGTACACCTGCATCTAAATGCAACCCAATACCAAGGTGTTGCAATACATCCAATATTTATGAAGTTCATCATATTCAGTAATTGTTCATCCAAGAGGTGTTGATGCTTCTCTATTACTGAATATGATGAACTTCATCCAATATTTATGAAGTTCATCATATTCAGTAATTGTTCATCCAAGAGGTGTTGATGCTTTTCTGTGGTCAGTTTGAAGACTGGTGTTTGTGCTGTTGTAGCTGTAAGATTGCATAACACTAATAGTGTTTCTAATAATGTCTAATAATGTCAAGATAGTATTTTGCCCACAATCATTGTGGGCAGAATACTGGCTGAACAAATGGTTTTATGTTTAGAATCTTAGAGTGGTCTGTGTCAAAGTGATCTATGTCTGGCATAGGGAGGTCAGAGTGAGATGTGGTTGTAGTTATTTGTGCTTTTGTTGGATTGGTTTGCTCTATACAGCTGTAGTACTAGTACAAAGCTGCATCGACATCTTTTTATCCATTGCAGTTCAGTGCACCAAACTACTGCAACACATTCACTACTGCTTGACTGACGAGAGTCCATGTTTCTGGGTTACAGTGCTATTTAATAGAGAAATAAAGGAGCATGTAAGATATGTTTATAGCTTTACATATCACATGGTTCAATTTTTTAGTTTGGTCTGATCTCCGGATGAGGGAGAGAAGAGTGGTCAGTACAGAGCTGATTTCCAATGTGAAAACAGTTGCAGCAGAATGTAAGAAAATTCCTGACTACAATTGCAATTTGTTACATTTTGAGAAAGACTTTGTGAATCAATATCTGGAAATTTTAGAAATTGTTAAAACCTTTATTTTAGACCTAATCTGTATCTTCTAAACTCACTTAAAGAAATAGTTCAACATCTTGGTAAGTACACGTATACACTATCTTGCTATTTGTATTAAACAAACAAGATAGAGTGTGTGCTGATCAGCTGTTACCCTGCTTTCAGTCTCAATATTAAGCCAAGCTAGTCACCTCCTGGCTCTTGCTTCATACTTATTGTACAGACATGAGTGACCCTTTCATCTAAGCCTCAGCAAGAAAAAAAATTGGCATATCTCCCAAAATGCCAAACTGTTCTTTTAAATGTATCTTAATTATAGATTTAGCATTTAATGCCAGAGAAGGCACCCTTTTTGTGTAGATCATGTGTGTTAACTAGAGCCTGACTGATACTGGATTTTTGGGGCCAATACCGATATTAAGGAGTAAAAAAAATTCTGATATTGATATATCAGCAGTAGTGTTGCAACGGTATACCAGGTTCAAGGTATACCGTGATATTAAAATTGACTGTTATGACTGTCATACTGTGTACATTTGCTTATCTACGATGCTGAAAGAAAATGATACTGGACAGAAAACCTCAACTTCATTTTAGTTGTTATCAAAAGGGAGACCTATTACATATACAGCCATTAATAATGGTTTCAAGTTTCAAATATAGTAATAAATATTTGTTTAACCAAAAATAACCCTTTCATTTTAATTCCTTTAAGGGTCATTCTGACTGATAATAATAATAACTGTGTAATACTGTGATACTGTGAAAATTTTCTGAGTGTATACACATACATATACATATATATATATATACATATATATATATATATGTACATATACATATATATATATGTGTGTGTGTGTGTGTGTGTGTGTGTATGTGTATAAATATATATACCTACATCACAATGGTCAAACACAGGACCACATTCAGTGATGACTCGTTTCCCCAAGATACACCATGGAGCACTACAGGAAGTCATTCCTGCCTGTGGCCACCAGCCTGTACACCTCCTCCCTCAGTGTGTCAGCCACTCTGGCTCAACAAGACTAAAAAGGCACTTAGACTTAATTCACCTTTCTGGATATATAATCCATAAATTATCCATGTTGGCGGCTGTTGCTCAGAGGTAGAGCGGGTCGTCCACCTATTGAAAGATCAGCGGTTAGATCCCAGGCTCCTCCAGGCTGCATGTCAAAGTATCCTTGAGCAAGATACTGAACCCCAAATTGCTCCCGATGGCTGTTCCATCGGTGTGTGAGTGTGTTAAAAGTAGCAGGTGGCACCTTGTATGGTAGCCTCGGTCACCAGTGTATGAATCTGTGTGTGAATGGGTGAACGTGACTCGTAGTGTAAAAAGTGCTTTGAGTAGTCACTAGATGACTAGAACGGCGCTATACAAACGAAGGTCCATTTACCATTATGTTTCTGCTGTGCAAAAGTGACTTAAGGTACAATTATTGTTACTATTGTTTTTACTACTTTATCACTAATTCTTGCAATATTCTGTGTAATTATTCAACTGTACAATATTCTAAACACCTCTTGAATGTATATATTTATTCCACATACAATGCACATAACTGTACTTCATTGAGGATTTCATAATTATAAGTGATCCCAACCATCTTTTCCTGCATCATGTTTTCATTAAAAAAAAAAAAAAACTTTTCATTTTGGTGCATATCAGACAACATATGCCGATACTGATATATCGATGATATACTCCAGTTACGAGTTAACATTGTGCTCATAATGGTATAAGAAGTATTTTGTCATGGAGAAGTTATTAAGAAATTAAGTTGGTTCTAACCTCGCCTTGTTTCTTATTTCAGAATACAGGAATTCAAAGTAACCTTGAGTGAAGAAAACATAAACTTGAAGACTCTGAGAGAGCTGTGCTTCAATGGTAATTTTTACACCTTGATGTTTTTTTGTGCCGAAACCATGAGGCTAGATACCTTAATGGTCTGTACTTGATTATCCTTTTCTTTATTCAACTCAGGAATCCCATTTGAAGGAGGTATACGAGCTCTTTGCTGGAAAGTAAGTTGCCCTGCCTCTGTGTTGTTTTGTATTCTTATCCTAAAGCTCTTTTTCCTCTTTTGTTAAACGCTGTTTTCCTTGAGGTTTGCTCCTATGAGTGTTCCAAGTGGGATTCAGCAAACCCTCTTAGCTGCACAAACTTGGTGTAAACTGCTTGTTGCCAATTAATGAATGCCACCATGAGATTTGATTATTAGCATACCTAACTACTTGTTCCACTCATACACAAAAATATGTACAAGAGTGAATAAAAAGAACTTTACTCTGCAGGACTTCATGTCCTGCTGTCAGAAAGCAGATCAAAACGAGACAATTAATTGCCTGTGTCCAGGGACCCAAAAAATATTACTACTTTGAATGCCGTGTCAGAACATATTCCATTAAAGCAGATATTAAACTGTCAGGTGTTATAACAAATAATGTTCACCTGACATGCAGAAAGACTCTTAGGCAGCTGTTGGAGTGTGAGAGTCTTTAGAGCAATTACAGCATATTTGCCTCTCAGTAAAGTATTTTAGTAGATTTCTGTAATGTATTCAAAGATGCAGTGTTTCACAAACTGAGTTAAAAACCCCAACTGAGATGCATATTTGGAATGCGCTGTGTACATGTCCCAAGAATGTGTCATCATCTGAGTTGCGGCCACCTTCATATACACTGAACAAAAATCTAAAGTCAATGCTGTTGCTTTTGCTCCCATATTTCACAGTTAAAGATAAAAGATTTTTTGAATGCACTCATACATTTATCTCAAAATTTTTGTCACAAATTTGTTAAAATCCACGTGAGTAAGCACCCCTCCATTTCCAAAGTCATCCGTCCAGCTGACAGGTGTGGCATATCAAGATGCTGATTATATAGCATCATTACTACAGAGGTGTGCCTTGGGATGGTCACAATAAAAGGTCACTCGAAAATGTGCAGTTTGATCACACAACACAATGACACAGATGTGGCAAGTTCAAACTGCACATTTTAGAGTATCCCCTATTGTGACCATCCCAAGGCACGCCTGTGAAGTCATCATGCTGTTTAATCATCATCTTGATATGTCACATCTGTCAGATGGATTATCTTGGGAAAAGAGAAGTGCTCACTTTAACAAATTTGTGACCATAATTTGAGAGAAATGTATCTGTTGAGTGCATAAAAAGGTTTCAGATCTTTAACTTAAATCTGTGAAACATGGGAGCAAAAACAAGACGTGTTTAAATTTTTGTTCAGTATAACAGGAACAAACAGCAAAACAAATTCTGTACCTCTTTAACGGAGTTATATTCGCTTAAGATCTTTGTTCTTTCAACAACAACTTTCCATTCTTTCTGATATCATAAATAGATTGTGTGTCTACTTATTCCAAAACTACTTTAAGGTCTGTGTGATGCTTACTTGAGGGAAATCTTCAAAGCAGAGCTCCCAGGTTTTTTATGGCTACACCATGACATCAAATAGAAAAATTCAGAATATTTTGTCTATTCTTAATACACAGTCTCTGAAATTCAGCCTTTCATATTTGGTATCTATAATTATGGGATCTGGACCATAGTTAAATATAAAGTTTAGTGGGTTTGAACACCACATGGATGGGTAATAAAGGCCTTGCTGGTGGGTCCAGCAGGATAGAAGATGATAATGGAAATTTTTGGACACAATAGTTTTTCACTACAGTACATTGTGTGTTTTGCAAAACAAATTAAAAAGTAATGAAGTCTGGGTTAAAAATAAAATGCAACATTTCTATAAGATTGTGAAGGGGGACAGATCAAATAGTTGCACATTTGACTATATAGACTTGCAAAATATTCGGATGTGTGTTGACTGACTTGTGATTATTTTACTCACTTTTCAGATCCTTCTCAATTATCTTCCTCTTGATCAGACATTATGGGAATCTTTCCTCAAAAAACAGAGGTAAGGAGAACATCCATCCATTTTCAACCGCTTACCTGAAGCCTGGTCCTGGGGGCAGCAGGCTGAGCAAAGTATTGCAGACACCCCTCTCTCTCCAAGGAGAACATGTTAAAACTTAATGAAAGAGCATGGAGATCTCACTGAGCAACCACAAAATCAGCTGCCATTAATCAACACAGCTGATGACAATAGCTGATGTCGTTAGCTGACTAAAAACAGAAAAAAACAGCCATCTCAGCTGTGACTCACCAGTCATGATTCTGTTTATTATGGTGGTCTCTCATGGTGAAGAAACTCTCTTTACTGTTGTTTCCTCCATTTTCCTTGTTTATATCAGACCCAACAGAGAAAAGCCCCAATGGTGTTTTCACCACTTTTTCCAGATTTGGCAGCAGAGAAGAAAAAACACAGTAACAGGACATTTTAGCGAAAAAATTGTTTGATTAATTTTTTCAATTTACCGATTACTTGTTCAGTCTGAAAAATATCACGAAATTGTCAAAATGCCCATTATGATGTCCCAGAGGCCCCAAGTGACATCTTCTTGTGTATTGTTTTGCCTAACCAAAACCCAAAATATTTAGTAATATAAAAGTGTTAAATTTTTGAAGCTAAAAACAGAGAATATTTTTGTGTTTCTGCTTGATAAATGTCTGAAAGATTACTCAATTTTCAAATTACTCGGTGATTCATTTTCTGTGGTCTGATTAATCAACAAATTATCTCAGTGCTACCAGGGTGTCTGCAGGTCCTTAAAAAGTCTTAAAATGTCTTTAAAATTAAATCTCATAAATGTTAAGCCCAGTTTAGATGAAATATTAGCGATGAGATGAAACCGTTTTAGAATGTTGCAGAGAAAAGTTGCAGCGGTGTGAACTGGCCGGTCTGAACTCGACTCAAGCCAGCTGATGGTGCCACCTGCAGTGATTTGGCCACTTCAGATGGCCAAATCACTGGTGGCTGGTTTTAGAATGTAAAGGGTGTCATCTAGGGCTGTCCCAATCCGATCCTCGGATCGGGTATCGGCTCCGATCACGTTATTTTTACAAAATCGGAATTGGTACTAACAGATCGGAGGAATCAAAACAACAAAAATGGCCAGGTTTTTCATCTATGTTGTTCATTGTTGCCTCCACTTTCCAATGTATAAAGATATAGGCCTATTTTGTTTGTTGAAGACAAGAAGAAGATATTGAATTTGTTTACATTTTGTGCTGCTGAACCACCGATAAGCTTTTCGGATACTATTTAAATAAAAAACAAACCTTATGGGACAACTTGGATGCATTCTTTTTTTTTTTTTTTTTTTCTTAACGCTTTGCAAAGTATCATATCGGACTCGGTATCGGACTCGGTTTCAAAATAAAGGACTCTGTATCGGATTGGATGCAAAAAAATGTGATTGGGACATCCCTAGTGTCATCTAGTTTGTAGAAATGTAGATGAACCTAACACTTTAATAACTATATTTCTACATTAAGCTTACCTCTGCAGGGGACTACATACGTACTACTTGTCGCCATACTTACCTGCAATGCTTGGATGAGAAAAAAGATGAATTGTCCAAAAAATTGTCTTAATCAGTCTTGGTTAAAAATTACCTTAAAAATGTCTTAAAAAGCATTTAATTTAAGTGTCTGATACATGGAGACACCCTGACTACTTTTTTTAAATCCAGTATAAACCTGGATATAAACAAATGGCTCTTGAGGTGTATTTTAAGTTTCCACCACCACTTTGTTCCAAGTTGTCCCATTTTGTCTGTCATAGGGAGGTGTACTCCCAGTTCCTGAAGGAGATGATCATCCAGCCCGGTATTGCCAAAGCCAACTTGGGCCTTTCCAGAGAAGATGTGACTATGGAGGATCATGTGAGTTCTTCTTTTCACAGCAGTGTTAAACTGAAATGAGGCCTGATCAGTGAAGCTACAAGGTATGTGAAGTACAGTGTGCTTCAGTGACTATGCTAATGTCTGCTATCTTCCTCTGCTGAAGTAAGCAGTAAAAGGCAGTGCATGCAGAACAGCCTTAAAGAGGCAGTGTGACTGGTGATTGCATGACAGTCTTTAGCTGTTCATCACTCATGTGGCAGATATTGTTAAACTATAGTTGAGTTTCATCAATAACATTCAGCTCTAACTAACAAGTAGCAGGAGGAGTAGGTTGTAAGACCAGTAGTGTTTTTACGGTAAAAGCCCAAACATGCATTTGTATGACTTGGCAGGACTAACTGTTTAATGTTCTGTTTTGGGTAATCATTAAACTGTGTTTCTAACAGTGCAACTTTAAAATGTGGATGTGTGACCGCTTTGCAGATCACTTTGTTATCTCAAGTCTTTTGAGTTTTTGTTCTTAGTTGCTTAAGCACACTTTTTGAAACACTGTTTGACTGTCAGAACAATAAGTCACTACAACAGTCACTGCAACAGTTTATACTGTGCAGCACAACCTATAACTAAAGTCACTTTAAGTTGTATTTCCTGCAAGAAACCATAAAGCAATCAAACACTGTAAAGCTACAGTAGGTAACTTTTAATTAAAATAACTGTTTTGATATTAGCTGAAACTGTCATTATATGCTGATAATATACAGTGACATGTAAAAGTCTGGGAACCCCTGGTCAAATTTTATTTCACTGTAAACAGTTAATTAAGTAGAGGATGAACTGATCTCCAAAAGGCATGACGTTAAAGATGAAATATGCTTTTAATTTTTTTAAGCAAGATTAGAGTATTATTTTTGTTTCATACAATTTTAGAGTGAAAAAAAGGAAAGGAGCATTATGCAAAAGTTTAGGCATCCCAAGACATTTGAGCTCTCAGACAAATTTTACCAGGGTCTCAGACCATAATTAGCTTGTTAGGACTATGGCTTGTTCACAGATATTGTTAGGTGCGAATTAGATGCAAATTTCAAACCTTTATATATACTCTGATTCCTGAAACCTTGCTCCAACAATCATCAACAATCATCAATTATGTCAGAACATCAGCGAACACCACTGACCACTCGGTGAGTTTCATGGCTTTGAAACCGAACGTTTAGGGTGGTTTTAGGACAGGTTCACACATGGCCATAGGCAGCAGTGTTAAGCCAGGCAGGGGAAAGCCAAATTCTCCGAAAATGAACAATCATCACTATTTTGGTCTTAGCCACTCTATTTCATCATAAACAACCCAGAAATAGGGCTCAAAGTGCAAAATACTGGACTTCTCCAGTCTGGAAGCAAACGTAATACCATCTGTAAAAATCAGAAGATGAAGAGAGGATGCCTTCTACAACAAGACCATGATCCTAAACACACCTCGAAATCCCCAATGGACTACCTCGGGAGGAGCAAGCTGAAGATTTTGCCATGACCCTCACAATCCCCAGACCTAAAAATCATTAAATCTGTGGATAGACCTCAAAAGAGCAGTGCATGCAAGATGGCCCAAGAATCTCACCGAGCTAGAAGCCTTCTGCAGGAAGAATGGGTGAAAATCCTCCAAACAAGAATTAAAAGACTCATAGCTGGCTACAAAGAAGCTTTGATACTTGCCAAACGGGCCCTACTAATTACTGACCATCCAGGGTGCCCAACCATTTGCTTTAGGCCCTTTTCCTTTTTTGATATTTTGAAACTGGAGAACATTGAAATAAAAAAAGTATTCTCACTTAAAATATTGAAGAAAGGTATCATCTTTAACTTCATGCCTTTTGAAAATCCGGTCATGTTTTACTTGCTTAGCTACTCACAGTAAACAAAATTTTGACCAGGGATGCCTAAACTTTTGCATGCCGCTGTACATGACACAGATTGTCTGTGATTGTCTGTGAAAAAAACATGTTGCTCCTCTTCCTCATTGTGCTTCTAATGGCATCTGCAAGAATTCACTTCAGCTGAATGAAAAACAACCAGTCAGAGCTGACAAGTCTCAGATGCAGCTGTCAATCATTTCAATCACTGCTCCTGAACTGCAGTCAAACTGTCAAATTAGACAGCGCTGATCGAATCCAATCAAGATTCTGTTTCTGTATCGCCTATTTCTTGCCTCAGATGTTTTCATCTAATAAATGATCGACTGCTTGTCCGGCTCTTTGCTCACAGGTGTAACAGGTCACTTAAAACTGTTTCAGTAATTTCATGTGTCTTTTTCCCTTATCTTTTTTTCAGCCTCTAAATCCGAACCCAGACAGCAGGTGGAATACCTACTTCAAAGATAATGAAATTCTGCTACAAATCGACAAGGATGTAAGGTATGACTGTAGAAAAACTATTCTAGATCTATTAGTTTGTTCTTGACAGTATGTGAATGTCTAAAAGAAAACAGCATGTAATAGTGTATACACCTCAAAGTCAGGTAAAATATGACTGACCTGTTTGTGTGTTTGCAGGCGGCTGTACCCAGACATGGCATTCTTCCAGCGTCCCACAGAATACCCCTGCCAGCTTATCTTGGACCCTCAGAATGACTATGAGACGTTGCGTCGGCGAGTCGAACAAACCACCCTGAAAGCACAAACTGTAAACCGCAACCGCAGTGGAGTCACCAATGTAAGTGAATGTTCGTGTGTGTGTGGTCAGGGTATGTCTGGAGGAATCCAGTGAGGAACAGAGAAAATGTGTCATCAGATTTTCAAATTAATGTTTACAAGCTCCACCTGAACTAGTCTGTCATATGAAGTGCAGATGTAAGTTACGAGAGGAATGGTGAACGTGCTTTTAAAGCACAAACAGGTTTGTTTGTCCCGGATGTAGTGTTGTAGAAAGCTAAGCTGTGTTACATTGTATTTATGCATTATGCCAGAACAGAATACATTGTAGTAAATCAGGATTTTTTGAAAATAAATGTAATTCTTTTGGGTTTCTGTCTATCCATACAAACTCACTCAGGGGTGATTTCACACCTAACCTGTTTGGTTTGGTTAAAACAAACTGGTGCGTTAGCCTGGTTAGTGAAGTTCATTTAGGCTGGTGTGACAGCAGACAGACCACAGTAGAAGCATGATTTTTGTAAGATCAAACTGCTAATGAATCCATCTGCTACATCCGCAAGACCACTCTTTTTTGTCTCTATCTGTTTTTACATAATGTGGCAGACTAACAGTCTAATAATACTAATGATGCTTATCATTAGTTATTTCTTTGTGACACCAGATTACATAGGTTCACAAACAAGAAGTTTTAAAGTGCTGCATTAACTGCTGCCAGTCACCGGAGTCTGATTTTCATAGGTCTTGATGCGCTGATGATGCAGGATGAAATCACCAGTTCTTTGCAATTGATGAGTCACCTGTCATCCTGTATAACTTACATCCAGACTGAAATGTCTTAACAACTGTTGGATACATTGCTGCGCACAAACAGGAACTATACATGCATTAAATGGAGAGATGTCAGAGTGAGGGGGCTGCCTTGGACAGGCGTCCTGACCAGTTGGGGGTCCAGTGCCTTGCTTAAGGGCACCCCGTCAGTGCTCAGGAGTCTCCAGCACTCCAGTCCACGCTCCATACTTGGTCCATGCTCCATACTTGGTCCGTATGGGGACTTGAACCGGCAACCCCTTGGTTCCTAAGCTAGGTCCCTATGGACTGAGCTATTGCCGCCCCATGAAGTGTGTTTCACGATGACAAAATTACTTTTATTTAAATGGAGTTTGGTAGGGTGAACAATTGCGATTTTGGGCTGTTTGTGGGTAAACAACAAGGAGCTCACTCTAATACAAAAGATCTATCTCTGTAGAGAGATCTTGACCATAATGTTGTCAGACAATTCAATCTGAGTCTGTCAGTGGCAAAAACAATCCTTTCACTGGACATAAATTGACAGTGCTCAGTTACCCTGAGGGATTACACTGCAGTCTGTCTCTCCTCTGCAGGCCGCAGCGATTTTGCTCAGTACTGGACAGATTAAAAATTAAAAATTGTTATTCCGATTAGTCTCTTAGACACAAAAACATGGAAAAATAGGGTGTAGTCTAAAACAACTTAGTTTTTTTTAAGAAGCTGTGAACTGCAAACACAAGCACTCTCTTTGCAGTACTACTTTGAGAATCACATGTAAGCAATGCTGAAGAGCATTAGTGGAAACACCCTGAACTCCTAAGATTGATCATTATCAGGTTATTGCTTCTTTACACCAGGACAGTGATATTGACCTTTATTTTCTTAAGTTTACTTTTACATCTCATCTTCTTTTCCCTTGAATTAACATAAATATCTGTTTAAAACAAACATTGTATGTGCTGCTTATAGTCATTATTACACACAGTTTGCTGAGCAATTGCCACACCTTTCTGGTAAACTGAATCTGTTCCTTCAGGTCAGCTCCCCTGGAAAGGCGTTGAACCTGTATCCATCTAATGAATATGAGGTACTGCCCAATGGGAGTGAGGCACACTGGGAAGTGGTGGAGCGGATCCTCTTCATCTATGCCAAACTCAACCCTGGGATTGCCTATGTACAGGGCATGAATGAGATTGTTGGGCCAATTTACTACACCTTTGCCACGGACCCCAACAGCCAGTGGAAAGGTCGGTCATATTTTAACTAAACATTTGAACTTCTGACATTTTCACGCACAAATGTAACACGGTGGCCCGGGTCCTTAACAAGTCATAAAATGTCTAAAATACACATGTATCATTAAAAGGCCTTAAAAAGTATAACATTGTCTTTAATTCAAATTGTTTGGGCCTTTATATTTTTTTTAATCATGTCAATGTGAGAATTTCCGGTGTTGTCAGTACAGGAAACATATTTTAACACATTTTAACTCAAGGGAAACACTATTCAGTGGGTGAACAGACTTCAACACAACACCTCAATGCATGCAGTGCCCCTATTTTGCCCTTTTTATGCATTAAGATCATGCAATGAGGCTAGCCAGCCTGTTTGTTTGTTTGTCTTTTTTTGTGCGGCAAGCACAGAGATTATCATCATCATTATTCATCATCAGCAGCAGCAGCAGTGCCATTTTACTTTACTGTTCATTTTGAGCTGATCAGTGTGTTTATTTGGAGAGAGAATATGTTTACTTTTGGTGTGTATTTCCATTGCAAGTTTGGTCTTAAATTACTTCTTAAGTGCTATTGGAAAAAGTCTTGAAAAGTCTTAAATGTTTCATAACTGTAGACACCATGTATGAGCCCTTTGTAAATCTTTTGTGCTTTATCATTCAGAGCACGCTGAAGCAGATACATTCTTCTGTTTCACCAACCTGATGTCAGAGAACAGGGACAACTTCATCAAGAGCCTGGACGACTCTCAGTGCGGCATCACCTACAAGATGGAGAGTGTGTATTCCATGCTCAAAGACAAAGACCTGGAGCTCTATCTCAAGCTGGTATGGCTGAGGCCACATTCCCACTTCTTGCTCATTTTCTGTTCCTTTTAGGGAGCTAAAGGAACTGTTCTCTGGGGCTTCACTCTAAAAATCAATGATTGGAATCAGCAGGCGAGGAGCTGCCATTACAAACCACATATTATCTATAACAGCCAGTGTCCACGTGATCTATTACACTGCCTCTGGCTCCTAACAGCTGCAGACTCTCTGACCAGAGCATCTCACTCATGACTTTCCTCTCCATTCTGCTGTCTGTCCGTGCCTGGCTTTTGTGGCCGGAGCACCTCTGAGGCATAAAACTGAATTGCGAATGTGTAGAAATCATGATTAATTAAATAGCTGTTTGGTCTATAAATGATCAGAAAACAATGAACAAGACTAGGCCAAAACCTAGTACATGGCTGGACCGTGTATGAAATACTCAGGAGCTTTTAATTTGAAACAGGAAGTGGCTGGCAGTCAGCTAGTCACAAACTTTTGTTGGCCTAGCTTACAGAGCTGGCCTTGTTGTTGCGGTCCAACCCAAAAAACGAATGTAAACACATGTTAAGCTTAAGAAAAGTACAGTGAGACACAGTCACGCAGAGGACAAGAGCGGCTTTCTGTGGAGAAGTACTCACTGATTAGCTCATTTTTGCTCCATTCAACACAACCCGTCCCTCCCCTGTTCAACCCTGGTCACAGATGTCCATCCCCACATGACTGGTGGAGACTGCACAGCTATTGGCCACTATCAGAGCCAAGTTCTGCCAGTAGTGTCCTATCTGTGCCAATTACCAAAAAGGGAATCTCGTCATTGTGGCAGCACATATAAACACATAACATTTACTTCAATTTCAATTATTATTTCCACCTTCTCATCATAATGGCAGTAGGGGTGTAAATCACCAGCTTCATCACGATACGATATTATATCGATTTGTTTGGATGACGATACGATGTTTGCCGATATCATAAAGTCTGTCACGATACGATTTTGATTCGATTCGATTCGATTCAGGAGCCTGCGATCAATATGACGCAATATCATATGCCCATCTAACACAATCATTTACATCAACTTAAATGAAAAACAGTATTCTTCTGTAACAAAAAATAATAAAAATAGACCTGTTCACTAAAATGGTAACACAGACGTGCTATGTGAATTTCAAAATAAAGGTGTATCTTTAAGATGACGATATGGATCGATGTTTTCATTTTGCATCGATGTAATTGGATCGTTAATCAATGAATCGATGTATTGATGTGGATCGATGTATTGTTACACCCCTAAATGGCAGTGGCACCCGTTCTGACATTGTAACACGAAACACTCAGTAACATTTAAATTAGGGCTTGTTTCATAAAGACACGACTGTTCCTCAAGCAAGTTGATGAGGTGATCCTCTTTCCTCCATCCAAAACTGCCATTTCACCCATGGCTGTTTGGCTAGTTAGCTAGCTAGCTTGCTAATCAAACCATGCTTTTACGCTGAAGTTACAGTGGTTACAGAAAATGAGCCGAACAAAGTTGTCACTCGTCACATGATAGCAATGTGTTTTCCTACGCTATGACACGAGTGTGTGAATGATATATTCAGGCGTCAAACTTTACTCATGTAGCAGCTGGCAGTTATCTGTTCATAGGGCTGGCCTTACCTCTAGGGTCTAGCCAAAAATGTCTGGCAGAAGTTTACAGAGCCTGATGTGATGTCTTAAAGGGCCAGTGTGTAATATTTGGCATGGTTTATTGTCAATCTCAATCTGAATATTCTACCCATTAATATGTTTATACAAGTGTATGATCGCTATAAAATAAAATTTGTTTGGTTTTCCTAGCCTTATAATTATGCTTTTATATATATATTTATATATATATATATATATATAGCAAGGGCCTTGCTTTAGAGAGGTCGCCATCTTGCACCGCCATGTATGTACGGCAGACCGAGTGGACAATCCAGCCAGCCAGAGAATGTGTTTCGCGTGTATAAATGAACCAACGAAGACAGCGGAAGGAAGGAAGAAGGAGGAAGAAACAGCAGAGAGTGTTAGTAGTTCGATAGAGAGTAGTGAAAAGATTTTTTGGTTATAAAGTTTGCGAATGGACCACACTTACCACGCAACAGGAGAGAATGAACCCGAACCGTCATCTGCGAGGAAAAGAAGACGCAACTTCACCCCTTGTGATGCACTCTCTGCGGCGCTTTTCCTCCTGGTGATATATCTCCCAACGATGGTAGCAGTAGCACCGAATCCCATTCTGTGCATTCAGCCTCTCTTCTCACCCGCTCAGCATCAAACACATGGAGTTCCTCATCTGTATGCTCCGGCTCAAACAGGTATGGCTCTGGGTCTGTGTCCGCTACAAGAAACTCTTCAAAATTGCGTTCAAAGTCGTCCATTGCAGCTACTATAATCCGGAGATATTGCTAGGCTAAATAAACAGCTGAGCTCTGTTTACCGGCTAAGCTGTCAGTCAGTGTGCGGGCTGGAGATTGGCGGAGCAGAGAGGGGAGGGGGGTCGCTCCCCACTCGGTATGGCAAACGAGTATGTGTGTAAAGTTATGAAGTGTGTCTGTTACGCTAGAAGAGTCAGAGTTTGGGATGGAGTGGAGTGTTACCCCAGTTTTTTTGGAGTGCTCAAATAAACTGGCCTTTTTCCTGAACGCTTCTCTGGTCTCCTGCTCGTGAGGGATTCATTACAATATCGTAACATGGCTTAGATTTCTAAATAAACATTCACCTCGTCACTAGATAGACCTACTCCTGAAAAAGTCATGCGCAAGGCTTTTTGTCCCTACGAGGCCACCATCATTTACCCGACAGGAGGGGTGAGCGAGTGAGCCCTGCAATCTAGAATTTGACCACTGATGTCACTGTTTTCAACCCATTTTACACACTGGGCCTTTAAATTACTTGGTTGTCAAATCCGTCAAAATATATAGTTTACTATCATGACAAAAAGAACCGCAGCAAATCCTCATCTGAGATTCTCCTCAATCTGAGAAGCTGGAACCAGAGAATGTTTAACATTTTTGCGAAGGATTAATCTAAACAGTTGCTGATCAGTGTTCTGTATCGAGTCATTATATCAGAATTAATATTTAATGACTTTGCTAGGAAAACATTTTTTTTGGTGCTTGCAATAAGTGAGAGAGAGCGAGTGAGAGATGGACAGGTGGAGACAATATGAGCCTGCTAAAGTACAGATTCACATTTTTTCAAATCTGTCTTAAAACAACAATGATATGCCCATTTCCTCTGTTTTTCTTCCATGTTTTTTCTGTCCACACAGGAAGAACAGAACATCAAACCGCAGTATTTCACATTCCGGTGGCTGACCTTGTTGTTATCTCAGGAGTTCCTCCTGCCAGATGTCATCCGCATCTGGGACACCCTGTTTTCTGACCAGGACAGATTCCACTTCCTCATCCTGGTCTGCTGCGCCATGCTCATGTGAGATTTTCTGATTTTGCTCCCTGTACTCCCACATTATTGATACCTGTGACTCTTCATGTGAATCATGGTTTCTGTTGACTTCTTCTCATAGACTCATCCGGGACAACTTACTGGCAGGAGACTTTACAGTGAATATGAGATTACTGCAGGTAAGACTTATTATAATATGTTGTGAAACGTTATTAAGATATACGTGCAGGTAATGTTCTCACTGAAACTGACTCAGTGATTTTTATGTCTCCTCATGGCAAGACCTGTGGCCGTAGGCATTATGTGTCATCATGTTTCCTTATGTTTCACTCTCATGAATGTGAAATCTCAAGGACACCATGAGGGAAGAGCTTCAAACTTGCCACAAACGTGCACTTGGACTCAAGAATAAACTGATTGTATTTTGTTGGTCAAAGGTCAGTGGGACCTCAGAAAACATGTTCTTGGCAATAACTTTCAAGATTTCACACAGATGTCTAACAGAATAAAATTGTGACAACATTTTATATCCAAAAGGTCAGATGTCATCTTTACTGTTACATCATAATGTTCTGCAAAAATACTTTTCTGGCTGATACCCAGTGTCATAACTAGGGATGGGTACTGAAACCCAGTATTAAATGAGTCCCAGGGCTAAATGATCAAAGACTGTAGTATTGATAAACTCTGACTTCAATTAGTTCTTTTATCTGCACTTCTCTACATTTTATTTTAATGCATTGTCATCCTGCAGCCTCTCACCCGTGCTCTATGCCGAGACTGACCTCCTTCACATACACACACACATACACACACACACCCTCATGACATGGAATAAAGTTGGTGAACAGCAGAGATGATAAATGACGGCTGTATGTATGTAGTCTAACTCTTTAGCTCAGTTTGCCACTTATCTTAAAATTGGGCAAATACTTTTAAACAAAGCTGATGGCTGACACAAGAAGCCCCTCCTATTTCTACCAGTGCTAATGTTACCTGCATGCAGTGAATCACATCAGCAGAGACAAGTCAGGACAGAGGACAGGAGGAATGACTTATAAAGACTGATAAATACTGAACTGCACTCAATATTGTCATGTCAGGAATATATAGTGACATAGCTGTTGTAAAATTACTGTTACTGCTCTGGAAACATTTAGTTCAAATATGCAGTAATCCTGTTCTGAATTTATTCTTTTTAAATTAATGTTTTCTAAAAAGCAACTTTTTTTAGAAATGCAAAGGAACCGAGAGTATCGATGAAGTACCAAATCGTGTATCAGTAAGAGTAGTAGTAGTATTAATAAAATCTTAACAATACCCAGTCATAATTATATCTCAGGAACAGAAGGGGAGACATTTGGTCAGAAACTGAATTGGAGACACTAATTTTGGTTGTCCTTGAAACTGTGCTGATTGGACAGATGTTCTGCTGCCGGGGGAAGGATGTGTGTGAAACATCCATGTTTTAGTATATGCAGCTGCTTTACAGCAACATCCATTTCTGAAGCATTGTCAACTGTCATGGCTACATGTGATCTGGACAGACATGGATGTAAACTGTAACTGCAACTTGACTGGTTCATGGAGACGTACAGCTGCGTTGTGGTAATTTTAGTTTTTCTTTCAGGATTACCCAATCTCAGATGTTCACACCATCCTGACCAAGGCCAAAGACCTTCAGGATAACTCCTAACCTGTTCCCTCTTTTCCCTCCTGCCTTTTCTGCTCAGATATGGTAGGTGAGAGTATAAACATTACAAAATCATTGTCATGTCAAACATGTTTCGTGGAACTGATCAATGAAGAGCTTGGACAGATGCGTTGGGAAAAGCCAGCATACTGCTTTTCAACTCGACGCCTGATGATTGGTCAATAGGGACTGCCATGAAACCTTTGAGGACAAGCTGAAACTATTTCTTGGAGTGCAGAGGGGATGCCTCTCCCTTCTTGATGCATTCTGGGAAAAGGCTACCTTGGTCCTCCTCCTCTCACAGCCATCTCTCCCATGGAGACTTGTTGTGCTCAGATAATGATGATTGCACTGAGAGAGAGGGAGCCACATTAGTCCTACACTACACCTCTTAGTTTGTCATGAAAATTTAAATGTTTAACAACAGAGCCAAGAATTCCCACTGCAACCACGGGTGTTGTCAGATCGAGCAAATGTTTCATTGGGTAATGCAGTAGTGCATGTTTTGGTCTTTAAGGGTTTTCTTTTTTTATTTTTAGAAGTTGAACGTTTTTAATTTTAGAAACATGTATGCCTTATCTGTTTATTAATATGTGAAGCAGGAGACAGTATTCCTGGGTACATTTTCTGTCTGGATAAAATAAATCTGAAGTGAGGGGCCTGACCTATTGAATACTTTACTAGTAACCTTTTGAAAATCATTATTTCTTTAGCATCATGTCTCAGCAATGCATTTAGTCCCATTGGAAATGTAATGTGATGAATTTTCCTTTGTTCTGTCATTACTTTGACACAACAGAGTACTGTTGAAAGAACCATCAGAGGGAGTTGTGGTGCTTTTCACACTGAATATTACTGACCGAGCTTCTTCTCCAACCAGGGTTTACATGTATCTCTATAGTAACTTCATTATAGTACTTCATATCGCAGTGAATGAGTCATTGCGATTGGCCAGAGGGTGTGCATGCAGAGGTGGGACCAAGTCATTGTTTTGCAAGTCACAAGTAAGTCCCAAGTCCTAAACTTTGCATCCTAAACAAGTCATAATGCGCTCCTCACCAAATGGTAATACCATTTTAACAACAGAGTAATAACATATTAAATCTACAAAAATCATGAATGCGTTTAAAAATTTGTATTTAATTGGGTAACAAGTTTGTTGGAAGTTGTTGGATGATTTTTGACCTGTACATTTTGTATGCTGAAATTTGTTTTTTGTTGTGCACCGTGTAGCTTTTGTTTACGAATGAAATTATCGTTAGTATCATTTTTCGCAACTGATGGTCAGTAACATAACGTGAGTTATTGATTGTTCTCATCTGCAACTTCATTGGATGCTATGGAATTGGTTCAAACAAAAGAGATCTGGAGCATTATGTGTCGGCTTGCTTAAAATTAATTGCGTTAACATTAGTTGATTTAGGAAATGAAGGCAAATGGGTGGCACATTTTTAAGTAACATACTTTTTAATCTTTGGGCTTGGGGGAAGGCATCAACTATTTTCAACTCAAAAGGCTGAAGTCTAAATTAGTCATGAGTCATTGGTGTTAAAGTCAATAGCGTCTAAATAAGAGCTTGTGTCATACGGATACAGCTGTTCCTCAGAAAAATTGATGAAGTGACCCATACAGTACTTTTATGGATACTTTTATGTTATAGTGTTACAGAAAATGAGCCGAATAAAGTTGTCACTCATCATTTGATAGCAATGTGCTTTTGTACACTGTGACAAGAGCATGTGAATGAAGTGGTAAGTTATTAAATTTTACCTATGGAGCAGCTAAAATTTAGCTAGGAAGCTTGCTAATTCCATTATGCTTTTATGTTATTGTTACAGTGATTACAGAAAATGAACCGAACACGGTTGTCACTCATCAAATGATAGCAGTATGCTTTCCTATGCTGTGACAAGAGTGTGTGAATGAAGCATTAAGTCATTAATTTATTTACTTATGTAACAGCTGGAAGTTAGCTATCTTGCTTGCTAATTCAAACAAAGTTGATATGGAGAATTAGGTGTCGACTTGCTTGAAATGAATAGCATTAACGTTAGTTGATTCAGGAAATGAAGGGAAATTAATAAATTGGTGGTCCACTTTATAACATGACATACTTTTTAAAGGAGCTATATGTAAGAAATCTAAAGCAAATAGTCGTAAAATCCTCCTAATGTCACAGAGACTAAGGAATAATGTTCATATAACATACTGATCGCATTTAAAAAAATATTTTACAGTCTGCAAATCATGTTTATGTTTTGAATTTGTGTTTTGGCCTGTTGCGCCACCCACTGCCGTCTACCAGTCACGCAGTCAGTAGAGTTTCAGCATCAGTTACAGTTACGACTGAGCTACAGCAGCACGGCAAGCAGCATTAGCAGTGCCCCAGTACATAGCATTAGCAGCCGGCTCCTCCGCTGTATCTCGGCAGCAGCGTTAGCAGCAGAGAAGCCGGACTTGCTCGAACGGTCCGCTGGAAAACCAAAGATCACGGACACGGTGACACAGCCCTGCCACGGCAGCCGTCTGTGGGCAAACAAATCAGTCTCCAGCGTGCCGCTGTCCAGCAACCTCGAATCTGTAGGGGAGGGGGGACGGACACGACTCGCGGCAGTATTTTGAATTTGAGTGCAGTAACCGTTTTGGCCACATTTTTACATACAGCGCCTTTAATCTTTGGCCTCGGGGAAGGTATTGAGTATTTTTTCATGTCAAAAGGCTCAAGACTAGTTGAAGTCACAAGTCATTGGTGTTTAAGTCTAAGTGGAATTGCAAGTCTTTTTTTATTTTCAAATCAAATCTGAAGTTATCACATTTTTTACTGAAGTCTGACTAGTCATGGGACTCAAGTCCGCACCTCTGAATGCGTGGCAAAGCAGCATCATCTAGTCATAAGTGAATTCATAGTTGGAAGGCTGCTGGTTTTTGCTGTTACTAGCCGACAGTAATAAAGCTAAGTACTGACATGTTCCAATATTAGTGCAGTGCAATACAGTACCGATACATTAACAGATGAGTTCAGGAGATACCACAGTTAAACTTTGTTGTTAATTTGAGAAATATAACCACATTTTTCTACAGTTACAAAGAAGCCAAAATGAGAAATTGTGCCTAAAAAAATAGTCTTGAATTTGATTTAAATTGGAATTGTGTGAAAGGAGAATAAATAAAAAAAGATTTTGACCAGACATTCAGTGCCCACAACTGACATCTGACATCTGTTACATTTCAGTCGGTAACAGAAAAAGAGTAGGGATGCACAATAATATTGGCACATCATTGGCATCGGCCATTATCAACTTTAAAATCAACTATCAGAATGAATATTACGTACACTGAAAAAGCATTCTATTTCATGTCTCCCATCTGTTGGTGAGCCATCACGATAAGAGTATGCATGTATAATGTGATGGTATTTCCACTACAGAGGAGACCTGATTATCACTGAAGTTAGGTGGGGGAAAAAGTAGATATATGGATTCAGTATCAGTTATCCGCCAAATTAGTTGCTACACATCGGCATATTGTATATTGGCAAAAAGTCCAATATCGTGCATCCCTTAAAAAAGAGAGATTTGATTGCCAGCCCACAGCTAGTCTGTTGAAAGAAAGTAATTACTTGGGTATCGAAGGCTAACCTATGTTCAAATAACTGCACAACAGAGCAGCCATGTGGATTTCGATAATTAATACTCATTTGATGTTGTGGTAGACACAAACAGCTTCGATAAGCTATAAACTGCTAGTTAATTTTAGATAAGCTACAAACAGCTAGTTAACTTTACGTCAGGTACAAACAGCCAGCATTACTTTGGATATTTTGTTTATGAGTAGGAAAAATGAATGTTGGCTGAAGCAGCTGGCATGCACAAGAACTAGAAAATGTTCTAGTATGCTTACTTTAGCAAAACGCACACAACTGAGAAATACCAGTCTTATATTGAGGTTTATGGGTTCAGGTGCTGTAATGATGAACTGTCTTATTGCTTATATTACAGTTAAACCAGAAGCATTTGATGGAACAGAGATGAAATGGATGTAAGAAATAATATTACGTGCTAAAAAGCCTCTCAACTTGATGATTAGTATAAAACTCAGACTCTGTTCTCTTTCCCTTTTTATCTGTGATCTTATGTAGCTAAAACTCAATAGCGGAATGACAAGCAAGCTGAAATAGCTTGACTGAACAACATGCAGATGTTATTCTAAACTTCTGTTTCGCAGTGGAAACAGGCCTGCAGTTGGTTGTTTTTTTAAGGAAATGAAAGCCTCAGTCGATAGCTAAGCTAGTTCAGGGTTAATGATGCAGGTAAACCTTTGGCCAAGGGTATTAACTGGAGCTGCGATGTTTGAGGGTGACCGCATATGGTGCTAGACATAAAGGGATGGTGTCCGACTGACAGAACTTTTTGGGTACGCTCAAATGGATGGCAGCCAGTATGCAATAGAAGGTTTATAAATATAAAGTTTTAGCCTTCTATTCAAGATGTTTTTAATAATTGCAGAATTGTAATTCTCACTTGCATCTTTATTTTATGTATAAAATATATTCAGATTCAAGGCTGACTGCGGATGCTTCAGTGAAACGAATCAATCATCCTCAATGAATTATGATAGTGTGCCAGTTATTGAGCCTTTCGGCAGGTGCAGACCAGATTTTTCAATGCATGTGTTGCACCCCATTGATATTACATGATTTGACACTATGACTACTCCCCTACCAACTTGCCTTTGATTAAGCTTGATAATGTTCAGTGTGAACACCAGCGCAGCTTCACAGCTTTGATTCCCATGTCTGTTATTATTTGAACTTGTGTTGTGTGCACATACTATATGATCTATGTGGCACACGGGTCATGGCTTGATTAATCATATGAATGTAAATGTGTATCTGCAAACTGAAATCTGCCACTCTTGTAATCAGTCACAAGCTTGTTACATGTTAACAATGTTTATCAGTGGACAAGAAGTCATCTCAGAAAGCTGTTTAAGAGCTCTAATATGTTAATGATACTTGGGTTTATGAATTAATTTATTTCATACTTATGTGAAGGCAGTTTATGTAGATTGGTGATGAAATGCTCCCCCACATTATTACGAACAAAGATCAATTTTTTTGCTAAAGAGGTCATTGCAGCTCACTTAGTGTCATCTCATCTTGTACAAAGTGCAGGATTTTCAAAAATGAGCCTTCATGCCCAAAATGTCAACTGACACCATTCTAGGGCAACTGAAGTATTTCTGTAATCTGTCACTTTTAATAATCTTTATAGACGTGGATGGGGCATTAATAACTCTTTTCCTTGTCTGCTTTTTCTGCTACGGAAGATGAAATCAAATCTTACTTGACCATCCTAATCACAGCACACTATTAAAATGTAGTCTTTAATATTGTTGACAGTTGTGTGTGTGGAAGCTGTTTTCTTTTAACAAACAGTATGGAACAATACAGTGCTTTTAATTTTGTGAGAAGAGGCTGCTCAAAGGACACATATATTTGTGTCAGAAGTGCTCTTTCATTAGAATTGAAAAGGATATTCTTCTAAATGGTGTTTAAATTAATTGAAAAAAAAAAAGAAACTTCTAAAAATAGATCAGAATTGGTTTGATTCTCTGTTGTCAAAATCATTGGTTCTCCTGTCGAATACTGGATAGCACTGGACTCATTTGTCTGAGATGTTAAGAAAATGTAATCACTATTTGCTTTTGAATCTAAAACCAGTAAATTGATGTGCATTTGGTCACCGTTCTAGCAGCACCTGGAAGCCTGTTGTGTTGAAGGGACTGCTTTTATTACAAAATGGAATTGAATTTTATCCACCAGACTTTATAAATCATCTCAGATTAAATTTGCTTAAAGGATGAATCAGCAATTAATAATCCAGTCATGTTAATATTCAGTCCAGTGGTGACAGCACCTCACACTAATTTTGTACTCACTAAATGAGTGAAATAAACAAATGACATCAGATGGCTCTAGCCATAATAAGTCTGGCAATATTCTGTTTAATATTATATATATTATATATATTTAATATTCTGGTTTTCTTATCGTCAAAGAAAATCTCAAAATCAACAATGTTAGTCCATCTTTCTGACTTCCCTACTCTTCCACATTTGGTACGCCAGTGAGCATTTAATGGGGATACTCAAGGACTTGATTCGGACATAAGTATTCATTTAATGTACAGCGTAATTGCCGCCCAGCCTCCCTCGTGGGAACCTGACTTTTCTATTTATTTTTTATTACATAAAATGGGTAAAATCCACTGTTGCAGGAGTGAGCTCCATGTTTGTCACTGCTGCTGTGTTAGCTGGTGCTAACTGGGCAGACGCTGAGCTGACCAGGAGGAGAGCAGCTCGGAAGACAGTCCTTCAGCACTGCATCTAACCTATGTAACAGCAGCAACACAAAGTTTCCTGACTTTATTTTTAATGATAACTTTATATTTATTAAATATTAGACTAATTGAAACCTGGTTGTTCAATAAGCAATTTTCAAATTGCACTCATTTCCATTGTTGGCCAATTTATATTCCTATTTTTACATACATACGGAAGTTACTTGAAAGACCCATCTCTGGTATTAACATTTATTTACCTGTACATTGTTACATTGGACTGCATGCTATTCCTTCTAAAATAAAAGAACACGCGGAAGCTGCCTTTTGAAACAAAAGCAAAGGAAAAAAATGATGGATTTAACTGGAGTTACCGAGTTGCTTATTTTGGATAAAAGGCTGAAGATACACTGAATCAACTGTGAGTCCAGGCAAAAAACAAATACTAACATCTCCATAACTGTTTGAAATGATTACATTTTCTGAACTTCATTCATTCTTGAATGCTCCCTGGGGTTGTGCTGCCCTACATCCTAAACCTACAGTGAGACAGACTGAATGGTTAGTCCTATATATGATAATATGTGCAGTGGTTCTCCTTATGTGACATCATCAGGTAACAAGCAGTCCTGAACAACAACCTTTTCAGGTGTACTTTAGCTATCAATCCAGATCCAACCACTTAGAAATGTCAAGAATATCCTGTTCAGTTTGAAAGAGCAAAAAAGAGCAAGCATTTGAAGACCAAAACAAAAAAAATATTTTGCATTTGAAAGTATTTTTATCAGGTGCAAAAATATTTGGTGATTATTTTTGAGGGACTGTTACCAATTGATGGCATCCACATGC